GGGGGCTGACACGGGGCCGAAGCGGAGACGAAAGAGATCGTCGAGGCGGCGGTAGCAGCGGGCGGCAGTGTGACCGGGACGGTCACAGACGGTGCCGCGGCGGGGGTCGGACTGAAGCTGGTACTGGCAGGTGACCACACTGGAGCCATCACCCGACACTGAGCTGCGCGGCCCACCACCACGACCACCGCCACCAACACTGCCAGGTCACCACGGCGGCGGGGGTCCCCACGGCTGCTGCTACTGCTGCTGCTGCTCCGGGGCATCAGCCCCGGTCCCCTCGTCTGCACCACTGTCCCCGCCACCACCTCCGCCACCCCCACCACCCCTACCACCCTTCCCTCCGCCACGCCCCCCCCCTTGGGGTGGCGGCCCTTCCCCTGATGTGGTTGCGCTGAGGTCGCGGCGGTGGTCTTAGCAGCAGGGGCTGTCTAAGCAACAGTGGTAGAAACGTCACAGTAAGTGTACTAGGAGGGAGCACAGTCCTGGACCGCCGTAGTACCACTGCCGTAGTACCGCTAGACTGAGCGATAGTGCGCTGGCGGGTCTCTATCGCGGACAGGGCGGTGACAAAGGCGGTAAGGGTGAGATCACCTGGGTGCTGACTAAGGAAGTGGTCGCGGGTAGTGGCAAGGCAGTCAGGGAGGCGTGTGGCAATGAGGTAAAAGGTAGCGCAAAGCGGCGGCGGGAATGCAGTGAGCTGTGCCTCAGTGCTAGTAACGCCATAGCTAGTCTCGAGTGTGCGGAGATGAGTGGCAAGGTCAGCGACAGTGGGGAAAGAAGGAAGATCAGGGAATAGCATGGGGAGGATCAGGCGACTAGCAGAGGTGGAGGAGGGAGTGGAATAGCGCGCAATGACCGCATCTAAGTATTCCTTTGCATTTTCTACAGCGGTAAAGCGGGGACTCTCAGACAGGGGGAGGGCGTGACGAATAGCAGAATGTGCTACTGCGTCGCACGACTTCCAGACAGCGCGAGCAAGCTCAGCAGTGGCAAAGGCCTCACGCTCAGCAGACGTGGGGGCGTCAAGGAGGGAAGCAGCCGCATCGGGGCAGGGGAGCTTACCGTCGACATGGAGGGTCAAGGAGTAGCCGTCCTGACGCTGACCTGTCAGCTGGTGGTGGAGGTCGACGAGCCACGCCTCAAACTCAACCGCCCGACCCTCCGCGTCTTGGCGGCGCACAGAGTGCACCATCACCACGGCTACAGCAGCTGACTGCCGCTAGAGGGGGAGGAAAGCGGCGAAGGGCGGTGGAGAGCAGTGGAGAGTAGTGGAGAGTGGTGGAGAGCGGTGGAGAGTGGTGGAGTGCGGTGGACGGCGGCGGAGTGCGGTGGAGAGCGGTGGAGACAGCCGGCGGGAGTGCCAGCTCAGAAGGGAGCCAAGGCTGGCAGGTCGGGGCGGCAGAGCGGCTCGGCGACTCAGCGACACGTCGTCACGGCGGCACTACGGCTCGGCGGCGCAGCGGCTCGGCGGCGCAGCGGCTCGGCGGCTCGACGGCGCAGGGCCGGCGCGGGCTGGGGCCGGCGAAGCTGGGGGCCGGCGAGCAAGGGGCCGGCGAGTGGTGGCCGGCGAGCGTGGGGCCGGCGAGCGCGCGGCCAGCGAGCATGGGGCCAGCAAGCGTGGAGCTAGCGAGCGCGGGGCTGGCGAGCGTGGGGCCGACGAGCGCGGGGCCAGCGAGCGCGGGGCCAGCGAGCGCAGGGCTGGCGGGCGCGGGGCTAGCGATCGAGGGGCCGGCGAACTTGGGGCCAGCGGGCACGGGGCTGGCGAGCACGGGGCCAGCAAGTAGGGGCCGGCGATCTAGGGGCTGGCGAGCAGGGGCCGACGCGTGGGGCCAGCGAACTAGCAGGGGGCCGGCAAGCTAGGGCCGACGGGCGTGGGGTTACGAGCGGCCGACAGCGACGGGCGGCTGGCGGCTACGGGCGGCTGGCGGCTACGGGCAGCACAAGGCGACAGGCGGCCAGTGGCGGTGAGCGGCGAGCGGCTAGCAGAGGCGGCTAGCGACGGGCGGCTAGGAACGGGCGGCTAGCGACGGGCAGCTAGCGATGGGCGGCTAGCAACGGGCGGCTAGAGCTAGGACTAGGACTAGAGCGGAAGCACGGGTGGGCGGGGAGGACCTATCCTAACGCATGATACCATCTCAGAGTAACGAGTTGACTAAAATGAGTGATACAGTGTGGTTTTGTGCTCAGGGGTTGTACTCTCTAAGAGTACGCACCTATCTAGCCTACAATAGCATATACATATACGTTTGACATGTACCGCCCACCAGAGTGGGAGGAGAGTGGGTGAACTGTCGAGATCGTGATCGGTGATCGACAAGAGATTTCTCAATTGTGTGTTGCGATTGACTCTGCCAGCAACATTCTCGCCAGTTCAGAGCGATTTTGATTGGCTACACAGGAGAATGGCTTCCTGTGCTTGTGCCCAGACTTCGCAACCAATGAGAATCCATTTCTATGAAATTATTTTCGCACCCACTTCGCCTTCCAGCTCAAATTGTGAGTCTAATCAGAGCCCCATAGAAACACAATCTCAGACGGAAATATACGTGCTATTTGAAAATTCAGACGACAGCCTACACCAAGTCTGAGAATTCAGGCGGATTTATGTAACCAAGATGGTCATTCAGATGGAAAATTATGGGCTGTCAAACAATCAGATGACACGGGAGAAGTGAGTCAGATTCTTAGATGAACATACGGATTTCGTCTGCTAACGGGAACCCTAGACACGTGCCTGGCTTGGGATGTTTTCGCCACATTTAGTTTCGTGGGTTGTGGGGGTTGTGGGAGGAACGTGGCTAGTTTTTCCTATCAATGAAAATATTTCAGGGGTAGTACCGGGAAATGTGAAGAGATTTTGGGAGTTCATTTGCCTGTCCGGATCTCTAACACGAGGTCATTTGGGCGGGATCTTCGAAACGAGAAGATCTGGAGGGCAAGTCTAGAGAAATTGTCGCAGTTCGCGTAGCTCGGAAGTGACAGGTGCGGACCACTTAGACAATTCTACCTTAATTTCCCGGCAATAGGACCCTAGGACTTGCAAAATATTCAAGAAAAATCGTCTGGGTGGACATCAAAACGGAAGGTGATTTTTAAGCCCCATGTTCATTTATTTATTACGTAAGGAGCCTGGTTTTCATACATGTAGCATATGTTTTCGAGTCTTTGCGGGGGGTCCTACTAGGGAGAACAGACTCGAGAAGGTCACGCGTCAGATTTTGTAGTCAGATAATGGTAAGATCTTATGCGAAAAAAATGCCACTACAACAAAAAAGGGGGGTCTTCAAATGATTTACCTTAAAAAGCGGGTCCTCATGAGATATTCGCGATAAAAAAACCCTGTGTCCGGAATGAAGCCCCATGGCCCCTTTTTCGGGGGGGTATTCATGCCGGGAGATTACGGTATATTGTTTTCGGCTGGTGTGAGAGCGATGTGAGTGGTACTGGAGGACTTAAGGCAAATTCATATGGGTTTCGGGGGGAAGAGTACTGATGGACTTAAACAAACTTTTACGGGGTTGCGGGGGATACTATGACTGACATGGTACACATGGAGGGAGGGGGGAGGTGGGGGAGGTTGGGGGGCGGGGGGGGGGGGGGGGGGGAGAGGAGAGGGAAATCTCGATGTACTCGGTTTCAGAGTCCCCCCCTAATTTTCGCTGACGCATCAGCGCACACCATATTAAAAGCACTGAAATAGCAGACATCAACATTAAAAAGCTGAATTGAGAAAGATTGCTTTCTTGTCCTTTGCAATAGGCATCGTTCTCATTTCAAGTGGGGCATCGTTCTCATTTCAAGTGGGCTAGGTACAATAGTCGCTTACTAGCTTATAAGAATCTAAACATGCACACATCATGATCCTAGTTGTGCGCTCCCGTTCGAGTGACCGGCTACCCATTGGAGATGCGCAGTTGTCCAGAGGGGGGGGTGGGTGGGAAAGTTGACTGAGCCGTTTGAAAAATGAGAGACGTGGGTGGAGGTAAATGAGCTCCAAACCACGTATATGTAGTTGGAGAAGGGCGAGTAGCGCGCTTCGACGATGCCCAACGCTTCAGTACAATCAGCTTCGCTTTCACAATACACAATTTTTGAAAAAACACTGCGTGTGTTAAAAAATTATGATATTGAGAAAGCTTGCTTTCTTGTCCTTCGCAATAGGCATCGTTCTCATTTCAAGTGGGGTCACTGAGACATGTGCAGTGGGGGCTTGCGGTGGCGGAGAAGTGCCTCGGCGTGTTGTGCAGAGGATGGCGCCGCCGCTGGGTCTTGCAGGCGACGAGACGCGCCAACCAGATGATCGGTTGCGGGCGTGACGTACATCTCTTTAGCGGTTTCACTACGCCAACGGCCCAGGCGTTTGAAGATCCTGTCAGGAACCCCGGAGTTGGCAGCAACTGTGGCCGCACCTTTCCGAAAGGAGTGGGTGCCTAGGTGCTCTTCTCCCAAACCGATTTTTGCGAAGGCTTCCTTGCACCAGTTGCGGATTGTGGTGTATGAGGGCGGTCTGGCTGTGCCGTGGCTCGGTAGGTGGGGTCCGAAGACCCGGATGAGCGGTCCCGAGGACTGGGGGCTGTATCCTGCGAGTTGGATGAGCCTCTGGGTGCCCTGGACCGGACAAACGGGTCCGGGGCTTGCCGCAATAGGGATCCATGTGCCTTGGCCGGCTTGGTCGGTTTTTGAGTGGGAGATGAGTAGCCACATCGCTTCATCTTTAAATTGGATGTCCTGCCATTGGATGGCCACCAGGTTCGAGTAGCGCAGAAAACCGGCATACATGAGAATCAGGATCAATCCTTTTTGGAACACGGCTGGGTTGTTTGACTGTAGGAAGGAGGCTGCCATATCGTGGACCTGATGGAGTGAGACTGGCTCTTTAATCCTGTTAGGACGCGGGCAGTGTCGCTTCGCGAAGTCACGCACTTGGGAGGTGAAAGGGCCGGTGGTTGGGCATGTTGAGCCTGTCATTCTGTGGGCAAAGCTCACGGCGGAGCATGTGAGCTGAACCACCGACAAGGAGGCCTTGCGTTGGATGACGTACACCAGGTAGAGCGCGAGGGTCATGTCCGATGCCGGCAAGAACGTTAGGTTGACCTTCGTGCAGAAGGCGCGGAACTTCACCTAGTAAGGCTCGTATGTTCGGATGGTCGAGTCGGCACGAGAGCGGGCGAGCATGGAAAGCAGGTCATGTTGGAGCTTTGGAAGCAGATCTGGGGACATGCGAAGGAGTCTAGTTAGTCAAATATCATGCGGAGTGCGATGATAGTGCTGTTGGGTAATCCTGTGCCTGAGAATGCTTGACTGTGTGTGCCGACTGTAAGACACTGGCTGCCGTGTGTAAGAGGGATATGTGCTTGGATGTGTGGGTCCCACGATGGAGGGGAGGGCTGGAGGAGTGGCCACCAGCTTGCGCCAGGCCAGTGTGGGACTAAGAGGGTGAGAGATGCGCTCGTGCGTTGTGCGTGATGGAGTACTGCGGGGATGAGTTGGGGCGGTGGGAATGCAAAGCTGTTCTCAGCCGTCCAGGCAAGTGAGAAGGCGTCGGCTGCTGTGGCATCGGGGTGGGGGACCTTAGAGCAGAAACGCGGCAAGTGTGCATTTTGGGGGTTGGCGAATAGGTCAATGGAGTGGGGCCCCCAGTGACGCTCGAGGAGGCGAAACCATGGGAGCTTCAACGAGTAGTCATCGTGGTCGACTAGCTTGGAGAGCTCGTCTGCGCGACCATTCAGATCGCGTGGGATCCAATCGATGATTAGCCGAATCTCGAACTCCATGCATTTTTGGATGATGTCTTTGCACGTGGTGGTGAGGTCGGGACTTCGGGAACCTCCTTTGCAAAGGATGAAGAACACGCCCTGGTTGTCCACCCGCACTAGCACATGTTTGTTCCGGATTCTAGGCGCGTACGTCTGTAGCGCCCACAGCACGCCGGCGAGCGCTCTTTGTGTGCTGGAGGTTGGATGAAGGGCTTCGAGCATTGCCGCGCTGGCCTCTGTCGCGGCTGCAGGGAATGTGTTCAGCGTGGCACCCCAGCTGTGGGCACTTGCGTCTACGTGGATGACTGCATCGTAGCTGTGCCGCACATGGAATGGGGCACCGTTGAAACGGTCGAACTCTTGGATCCATAATCTCAGCTCTTCGATGGCGGGTGGGGAGAGGAGGACCATGCTGGTCCATGTCGGCGCGTCGTTGATTGTTTCTAGCATGGCGTGGCTGAACGCTCGGGTAGTGGTGCCGAGTGCGACAGCCATCAATGCCAGCATGCCTGTAACTCGGGCCAGTTGCCGGACTGGGACTTTCCGCTGGGCTGAGCTTGCGCGCAATAGAGCATGGAGGGTGGCATTGAGTGTGGCTCGCCGCTCCTCGCCGATGGAGAACCGGCCGGCCTGTGTGTTGAGTTCTACGCCAAGGAACCGAAGGTGCTGTGTTGGTATCAGCTTTGACTTTTTTGAGTTGAGTACGAGCCCGGCAGCCTTGAGATCGATAACAACCCGTTGGCACGTGGCTTGAGCGTGTGCCTCGGTCGGGCACAGGAAGAGGATATCGTCAACGTAGGGTATCACGCGGACCCCCTGCTCCCGCCATCGCCAAGCTAATTGCTTGATGAGCTGCGTGAAGACGAATGGTGCTGTGGCGAGGCCGAACGGCAAGGATCGGAAGGCGTATGTGCGCCCGTCGAATTCAAAGCCGAGGAACGTCCAGCACGAGGGATGGATGTCGACATGGTGATAGCCTGATTTCAAGTCGATGGAGAGCATCCAGTCTCCTTGGCGAGCGAGGTCCGCTACACGGTTGATTCCCTCATATTTAAATTTGGGGACGATTAGTGCGTCGTTCACCTTTCGGAGATCCAGAATCAGGCGACACTTGTCTTTCTGCTCGACCACGTTGAGTGGGCTTATGCATCTCAGTTTCGCCGCAGGAACTTGTATGGCCGCGCCCGTCTCGGTGAGTTCAAGGATGGCCGTACGCGTGAATGCTTCGTGGATGCGTGCGCCGGCATGGTTGCGATCGTGAAAGGCCGGCGGCGGCCCGAGTTTCCATGGCATCCAGTATCCTTTGGCAATGACTGAGAGTATGGAACTGCTAGTGCACCACGAGCTCCACCAAGCGAACGTGGTACGTAGGCGGCCACACATTTGGGTGACCATCTTGTCGGTAACCGCGTATTCGTAGGGGTCACTGTTGTGTGCGCATTCGCGAAGTCGGGTACCTGTGGGAGTGACGTCATGCAGGGAGAAGCAAGGGACGAATCCTTAAGTTCATCTGCAGAGCTGAGGCCTGCCGGAAACCTAGAGCGTGGGGGGGGGGGGGGAGTGTGAAGCCTAGTGGCTAAGGAGGGCGTGCAGGACAAAGGTGCCACATGCGAGCAAGATGCTTAGGTCGGTGGTTGCTTGCGCTTTGAGCGAGTCTGAGCGGCGTTGTTAGGATTAAGGACGGAGTCTAGGTGAACTTAGGAGCTAGAATTACTCAAAATATAAATCCGAAATTCTGGACAGAAAAGTCGTCTTCACAAGAACCGACGTCGACGAAAAACTAGCCGTTGGAATGTCGCAAAACTTGGATATGTTGTAGCTCTTAATCTCAGCTACCGTTCCCAATTTGAATCATGTTGATTGATGAAGTATTCGCGACGCTATGTCTTTCGACGCACTAGGGGGTAAGCTGTAGGAGGAGAACTTAACTCAATCTCAAGAGTTCAATCAAAGTTCAAGAATCTCACAAGGAATTAGAGGAGCAAGAGAAAGGTTGGGATAGAAAGAGAGGGATGAGAGGGAAGGTCCCAAGAGAGTCCCCAACCAAGGAAACCCCATAAGCACAAAGATTCCCTCCCTATAGGAACCCCAACTTTGACATTTGTCCGTTCCCAACAAATCCATCCAAGTTGGCCACCCTTGCCAACCTAGCTTGGTTGTTCCCAACCAATTTGCAGCTGTTACAGTAGAGTGACAAATTTCCCCAACCCCCAAAGGTCCCAACTCCATATAAAGTCACCCCACAACTTCACTTTGTAACCGCCGCAATTGTAACGCAAGCTCATGAACTTTGAATCTTCATAGCTTTCGCGTTCTTGCTCCGATTGAAGCGATTCTTGTTGCCTCAGAAAGATCTTCTCAAGATCTATCATCACAAATACCTGCTCAAAAAGAATAACACAAAACACATTCTCAAACTCCAGAACACACCACACACAAATTCTTTCACACACAGTCAAACCATACATACGAATTGAAACAAGAGATGAGAGGCAGACAGAATGTGATAGCATATGATGACATCACACAACAATCTCCCCCTCTGGCTGCCAACCATCAACCACCATACCAACATCTCAAGCATGCATACTCAATGCACACTCATCCCAGCAAGCTTCATGCCCTTCCAATGATCCGCCTCCGCCAGACGCTTGGTGAAAATATCTGCTGCCTGCTGATGGGTCTTCACTATCTCCAGCCGCACCTCCTTATCAATGAGTCTCCTCACCCAATGCCACTTAGGCCTTATGTGTTTTGTCAGCCCATGCAGACAAGCATTCTTGGCGAGCTTCACAGCGGACTCATTGTCACAAAACACAACTGTCGTCTTCTCCTGACCAACTCCCAACTCCTCCAACAAACGCCTTAGCCACACTACTTCCTTGGCCCCATGGTGTAAGGCCATGTACTCAGTCTCACATGAGGACAATCCCACCTCATTCTGCTTCTTGCTGCGCCAGCTCACAGCACCACCTCCTAGCAAGCACACATAACCCCCAATGCTGGTGCCATCCGCTTTCACTGAGTTGAAGCTAGCGTCAGTATAGCAACTCAAGAGCATCTCTCCACTCTTCACATCTGCAGCACCTCTCTGCAACCGCTGCCTCACTCCACTGTACTCCAATCCCACTGATGCCGTAGCACTCACATAGCGGACCAACCTCTTGGCCGCTTCCAGCTGCTCATGACTAGGGCGTGAGACCACACTAGCCAACCGTGATGTAGCAAATGCAATGTCAGGCCGTGTATGATTTGCAGCATAATTCAGCGACCCAACCATCGAATGAAACAGCTTCCTGTCACTCTCACCCACTACCTCCTCATCAGCACATGGCTCCACAGTAAACCCTGAAGGTAGTGGTGTTGCTGGCTTTCCCCCATCTTGCAGCCCATACTTCTCAGCCAGCCCCTCACAGTACTTCCTCTGGTGCAACCTCAGCACACCCTTTTCCACATCTCTCTCCACGTGCATCCCCAAGTAGTACTTCACCTCACCCATCTTGGAGCACTTGAACTGCATCTCCAGCATCTGCTCTGCGCTGTCCAGCAAAGCAGTGGATGCAGAAAAGAGAAGGATATCATCCACATACACCAAGAACATGAGGATTTCATCCTTCTCCTGCAGCAGGAACAGGCTGGGGTCACACTCACTCTTCTTGAAACCCCCAGCCAACAGCGCCTCCTCCAACTTGTGATACCATGCACGAGGCGCCTGCTTAAGGCCATAGATGGCCTTCTTCAGCCTGCAGACCCTGCCGCTCCCATCATCCAGCCCCTCTGGCTGCTTCATGTACACCTCCTCCAGAATGATCCCATTCAGAAAGGCAGTCACAATGTCCATCTGCCGTATCTTCCATCCCAGGAGTGCAGCTATCGCCAACAGCACCCTCAGTGTTGTTCCTTTCCCCACAGGAGCAAACACCTCATCATAGTCCTTCCCCTTTGTCTGTTGAAACCCCCGTGCCACAAGCCTAGACTTGTAGCGGGTCAGCTCCCCTTCAGGTCCATACTTGTGCCTGTAGATCATCTTGGAAGTGATTGCCTTCTTTCCAAGAGGCAAGTCACACAGGTCCCATGTCTCGTTCTCAATTAGGGACCCGAACTCCTCATCCTCACTCGCCTTCCACTTCTCCCCATTTGGTCCATTCAAAGCCTCCTCTCGAGTCTTGGGCTCAGGGATTGGTGCCCAGTAGCAGTGAGCGATCTCATCTTCCTCAATCTGCTCAACCACACTCCCAGCCTGCACCACATTCGGCTTGCCTCTTCCCCCATAGGTCAGCCTCACTGGAGGGCGCACATCCCTCCTAGGACACTCAAGCGGGTGTGGAACTCGAGGTGGAGACTCATGCTGCTGCTGCTGCTGCTGCTCTACTTCAGCTGCTCCCCCTTCCTCAGTCACCCCAAACATCTCCTCCTCTAACACTGCAACCTCCACCTGTCTTGAAGGCTGCTGCACCTCATCTGCCTCCACAATGAGCGGTGTAGATGGAAGCTTCTGTTGTTGCTGCTTCCATTCCTTGTAGTACAGGGACTCAAGAAACTTCACATCCCTTGACACTGTCAACTTCTGGGTGGTCAAGTCCCATAGCAGCCACCCCTTGTGATCCTTTGCAATCTCCAAGTGCACACCCCATCTTCCAGAAGCCTCCAACTTCCCCCTTTTCTCCTTAGGCACATGAAACACCACCATGCACCCAAATGCCCTCAGCATGTTCACAGCTGGAGCACTCCCATACCACTTGACATACGGGATCCACTCCTTATCTCCAACTGTAGCCAGCACCCTGTTCTTCACAAGGGCGACCTGCCTCAGTGCAGACACCCAAAACGGATCAGGCAGCCCTGCACTCCCAAGGAGAGTGCGTGCCCCCTCCTGCAGGGTCCTGTTGAACCTCTCAGCCACGCCATTCTGCTGCGGGTTGTAGGGCACTGTCAGTTGATGTTGGATCCCCTTCCTCTTCAACTCCCCCTCAAAATCAGCTCCAATGAACTCCCCACCATTGTCACTACGGATCATCTTCACCTTGTGTCCGCATTCCCTCTGAGCTCTAGGCATCCACTCCTTAAGGACAGCCGCTGCCACCTCCCTCTTGCTCTTCAAAGGGTAAACCCACACTGCCCGAGTGTGGTCATCCATAATTGTCAAGAAATAGCGGCTGCCTGAGAGGGAAGGGGCTCTTGTGGGCCCCACCACATCCATGTGCACAAGTGCAAGTGGGGTCTTGGCTGGTCCTGTAGTGCTGTTGAAGGGGAACTTGGAGAACTTGGTCTCCAAGCATGTAGGGCAGCTCTCAATCTCCTTCACTCCCCCTTTCACCTCCAAGCCCTTCAGGCTCCCATCCTTCACCAACTTCTGCAGCATAGGGAAGTTCACATGACACAGCCTCTCATGCCATGTCTTCCAATCGGCCTCACCACTCCTTGATGAAGCCTTAGCCCATGCCGCACTCGCATCCACACCAGCAAGCACCTCACCATGTGTCTGCTGCTGCTGCACTTTCTTGACTGCTTCCAGGACCCCATCAGTTGGTGCAGTTGCATCTCCTCCTGCAGTTGCCTTTGCCGCTGCTGCCGTTGCTGCTCTTGGAGTCTTCCCATTCCAAGGGATGATGGGCAGCTGCCACAGGTCCTTGATGCAGCTGGTCTCCTCTTCCAGACTCCACAGCACCTTCTTCCCAAGCTTAGCACGGCAGCTGGTTGGTCCAAAGGTCACTTCGGCCTTGCTCTTCTGCAGTCGTCGCACAGAGAGAAGGTTAGCAGACAAGCCTTCAATCAGCAGAACATTCCCAAGCCCCACAAGCTCCCCATTAGCTCCCTTAACCTTGGCATTTCCAACACCAATGACAGGGAGCAAAGCACCTGACGCTGCTGCCACATACTTGATCTTCCCAGGGGGTTTTACCTCATCAAGCAAATCTGCCCGTGGGGTCATGTGACTGGTGCAACCTGAATCAATCACCCAGTGCGTGAGAGGGTGCATCACAACCTTTCCCACAGATCCCACGTCACCCTCATGCCCATGCACATCCTTTACCATAAGAAACAAACCAGGATAGGCATTACCTTGTGCACCTTCACCTTGTGCACCTGAGCCTTGCACAGCGCCACCTTGTGCGCGTTCACCACTAGGCGGCTTCATGCCTGGAGGTGCCCATCCCTCCGGCCTGCTGAAGCACTTGAACCAAGGATGCCCTATCTTCTTGCAGTACCAGCAGGTGCCCTCCATTCTGGTACTCCCCCTGCCACTGGAGCTTCCATGCCCCTCATTATAGTCACCTCGGCCTCTACCTCTGCCAAAGCTCCTCCCACGGCCTCGGCCTCTCCAACCCCCTCTTCCTTTGCCGCGCCCTGCAGCTCCATACCCCTCAGCAGTCTTCGTGGCAGCACCGCCTCCCACATGGCGTCTACGGAAGTCCTCCTGCAGAATCTGCTGCCTTAGCCACTCAGGTGTCCATTGATCTTGCTGAGAGTTGAGGGTGGGGATGAGGTTGTCCCAAGAGTTGTCCAACACCGAGATGATCTTGGTGCACTGCTGCAGCTGAGATACACTGCTGCCCGCTGCTGCCATCCTTGCATAGGTGTCCTTGATCTTGTCAAGGACCGGCTTCACATCGTCCCCTAGTCGCATGGAGATGACAGCAAGTTCCTTCTCGAGCACGATCACCATCGGGAGAGTGTTGGGCTGAATCACATCGCGTAGTAGTTTCCACGCCCTTGGACCCGAATCATCCGCTTCCACAAGATCCTTGATGTGCTCGAACATCTCCTTGTTGATCGATTGAAGGATGAGGTCGAAAAGCACCGCGCTTTTCTCAATCCACCGTTCGCGTGCTTCGCCTTCTTCCGGCATCTTCTCCTCCCCAACAGCAATCTTCAGGAGCTTGTAGCGTTTGAAGGCACTCCTCATCCGCCCGCTCCATTCCTCATAGTTGGAGCCATCCAAAGCGTCAACTTTTGATGGCGGTGGCTCACTTATCTTCTCAGCTACAGCTCCTCTTCCATTAGCATCTCCTCCTCTCTAATTCATCTTCTCCTTGAGAAATGACGAATTTCAGCTCCCCTTTGCTGTCCACACTCAGCTCCCTCGATATTTTCACAAGTGTCGGCGTCCACGAAATTTCGGCAGAGTTTCCCCTTAGCGGCAGACACATCCAACCTTTAGAACACCACTTAGGCACACCCACAGGCCATGGTGGGTCTAGAAGGGTCTTCAAACTTCTGTAGACTCCTCTCAATGTCCTTAATATCGCTCTGATACCACTTGTTAGGATTAAGGACGGAGTCTAGGTGAACTTAGGAGCTAGAATTACTCAAAATATAAATCCGAAATTCTGGACAGAAAAGTCGTCTTCACAAGAAACGACGTCGACGAAAAACTAGCCGTTGGAATGTCGCGAAACTTGGATATGTTGTAGCTCTTAATCTCAGCTACCGTTCCCAATTTGAATCATGTTGATTGATGAAGTATTCGCGACGCTATGGCTTTCGACGCACTAGGGGGTAAGCTGTAGGAGGAGAACTTAACTCAATCTCAAGAGTTCAATCAAAGTTCAAGAATCTCACAAGGAATTAGAGGAGCAAGAGAAAGGTTGGGATAGAAAGAGAGGGATGAGAGGGAAGGTCCCAAGAGAGTCCCCAACCAAGGAAACCCCATAAGCACAAAGATTCCCTCCCTATAGGAACCCCAACTTTGACATTTGTCCGTTCCCAACAAATCCATCCAAGTTGGCCACCCTTGCCAACCTAGCTTGGTTGTTCCCAACCAATTTGCAGCTGTTACAGTAGAGTGATAAATTTCCCCAACCCCCAAAGGTCCCAACTCCATATAAAGTCACCCCACAACTTCACTTTGTAACCGCCGCAATTGTAACGCAAGCTCATGAACTTTGAATCTTCATAGCTTTCGCGTTCTTGCTCCGATTGAAGCGATTCTTGTTGCCTCAGAAAGATCTTCTCAAGATCTATCATCACAAATACCTGCTCAGACAGAATAACACAAAACACATTCCCAAACTCCAGAACACACCACACACAAATTCTTTCACACACAGTCAAACCATACATACGAATTGAAACAAGAGATGAGAGGCAGACAGAATGTGATAGCATATGATGACATCACACAACAGGCGTGACCTGCGTGTGTGTCGGTTTGCGCGTCCGCGCATGCCGAGCTTGCGTTCGAACCTGCGCCCCGACGTTTGTGCATGAGTTTCCGCTTATTGCCCTTCCCTTTTTGCCCTCATATTCCCACAACTTGTGCCTTCACTCGCGCTTCTACTCGCGAACGCATGTTACCCTCTATTGCCTCTTTCGCTTGCGTTCTCATTTCTTGGGTTTTGAGACTCAACGCCCGTGTTTTTTTCTTTTCTTTTCTTTTCTTTTTCCTGTCTTTCCTCTAGTCACCTCTTGCGTGCTTTTGTGGCATGCGTGCGGTGTTTTTGTTGCTGTTCCCGTTCGTGGGCCATACCACGTGCGTGCGCGCATGCTTCTGTGACTTTTTTTCTTTTTTTTTCCATTGCCAAGCTGGGCAGCCCTGGATGAGGTTGGTGTGGCTGTTCTTGTATGCCCACGGAAGGGTAATGCTTGGGGTCCAGGGTCGAGCACACCAGGTTGGAGGGTATGCGCCTCGTGAGGCTCGCATAATGCTTGAATTCTGTTTTTTTTTTTTTTTTTTGCATGTCCAATCGATGAGCAACTATGTGAGGGTAAGTGGAGGGCCATTGGTGTTCCTGATGGCCTTCCTTCTCTGGCCGGGGGTGCTGCGTGACTTTTAGCGAGGGTTGAGCCACCCACTATGCTTCCCCGTTTCGTGCTCGATCCCCTTTTTTTTTCTTCTTCTTCTTCTTCTTCTTCTTCTTCTTCTTCTTCTTCTTCTTCTTCTTCTTCTTTTGCTGCGCCTCTTTTGGTGCTGCTTCCCCATTTCCCTGGTTATATTTAAGGACCAAGACCTGAAAAAAAATGGAGGACCGCGGCTCCTTATTTTAACCAAGCTTCATCTCTACTCAACCATGCTCCTAGGCATGCAAAGTCCGCCTTGCAAGGTCGGGCTATCATTTGGGACCGAAGGGGTATGTTCCCCTTCCCTTGCTCTGAGCCTAGGGCTTTCAATTGGCCTACACTAGGGCTGGCCCTCTGCCACCCGTGCCCCTAAGGGGTGGGCCCAATGGCCTACGCACACACCGGGTGCCTTGCGCCTTGCGCCACTTGCGCAAGCGCCCATGGCCCGACCCCTACACCACTGGTGCGGGTCCTTGGCCACCATGCCCAATCGCCGGGCAGCCGCTGGCCACATGCCCCAGCTGGCCACAGCGGAAGCAAGTGCCTCGGAAGCCACGGAATTCTCCCGTGGGCGGCGGACCACGCTTTGGCACGAACGGCATGGGCATGCGACCGCCTCCGCGATTGCCACGACCAAACCCGCCCTCGGCGCGGTCCATTGCAGCCACGTCAGCAACGGCCTGTTTGAAAGGCCTTGAGGTAAGCAGACTCTTCTGCTGGTACAGCTTGAAACGCTTGGCCGTGCGGAAGTCGGAGGCGTCTTCGACTTGGAGAACTTCGAAGCGTCGCGATATGAGGGCGAGAGCGTCGGCGAGGAATTCGAGGCCGCCCGGCGCGTCGCCGTGCTGCATCTTGAACTCGGCGTGCTTCAGGTATGCCCGAAGGTCCTCCAGGACTTTCGCTTGCTCGCGCACGGCCGCGTTGAGGAAGGACGCCGCCGAGAGGGTGGTGTTAGTGGTCGGGAGTGGTGGGAGGTGCTCCATGGGAATTGAATTTGCAGCAATGCCGGGGACCTCACCAGCGTCGTTGTCGGAGTCGTCACTGTCGTTGTCGGCCGCCGGGGCAGGCGGGATGCTGGCGACGGCATCTTTGGCGAGGCGTGGCGTCTTGGTTCCGCGTGTGGCCTTTTCTGTTTTTGCAGGTCCTTTTTTAGCAGATTCAGAAGCAGCAGGTTGAGCAGTTTCGGCGGCCGTAACACTCCTCGCCTGCTGCTGTAACAGCGTCAGCAGCGCGTTGACCTGCGCAGGGGTCAACGACGGGGTCAATGTCGGGGTGGGCGGCACGTCAAACGAGGCAGCCGCGCACCCCCTTTTGCGTTGGCGAGCAGGACCCGCCACTTGCGGGGCTGGCGCGTGCTGCTGCTCGGCGTCAGGCGCGAGTGGCTGGCTCTGCTCAGCCACTTGCGCGTGTGGCTCGGAAGGGGGCGGGGGCGCGTCAGTAGGCTGATTGTTGACCTCGCCCCCTCCCAGCAGAACGTCAACCCCAGTTGGGGCAGCCGCCCCTTCTTCTGCCCGACGCTTGTTACGCCGGTCGCCCGCAATTTCTGGGGCTTGGCGAGTAGACTCGGAATTGGGGTGGCCGGTGACGACGTTGGACTCGCCGCGATTATTCGTAGTCAGAGCCATGACGGATCGGTGAAACTTAAAAATATCGGAAAGAGTCGAGGGAGACTCGCTGCGAGGCAAAGTTATAGTCTTAGCCAGCTTGAACGGGAGAAAAGCTAGAGCGGGAAAGTTGACTGAGCCGTTTGAAAAATGAGAGACGTGGGTGGAGGTAAATGAGCTCCAACCCACGTATATGTAGTTGGAGAAGGCCGAGTAGCGCGCTTCGACGATGCCCAACGCTTCAGTACAATCAGCTTCGCTTTCACAATACACAATTTTTGAAAAAACACTGCGTGTGTTAAAAAATTATAATTTTTTCAGCATCCACTGGAAGAAAAAGCCCAGCCATTCAGCATTGGTACATCGGAAACCCCTGGAAAAAGGTGGAATCTGCATAAAAAGGCTGATATCTAGGGGCCTAGATGTGAAGTAAGGAAGAATGATTATATTACGGTAATATACTTTACACAAGAGAGTTCATGATCCATTATCAATGCGTGCAGGAGTCTGCCGACGACAACTCTAATCCCTGCTCTGCATGGCCATGAACCTATGGTTAACCTCGTTAAGCCATGTCTCCATTTCCATAAGCAGCTCTGCCATTAACTGTGTTGCTTGTAACTGCACACATATTCTCTGACTGTACTGCACCCATCCATCCCCCCTCTGAGCTCTCCAGCATACCGCTATGCATGATCTGCTCAAAGCTCTCAGTGTCTCTCCGACTCCTCTCTCCTCCACCCCCTGCAAAGTACTGCACCCACCTCCTCATGCTCTCACTGGCCATTGCTGTAATGCTGTCACCCAAGCGTCCACTCCCCCTCCTGCCACTCCCACTCCTCCCCACCTCCCCTCCTTGTGGGTCGCCCTTCTCAACCAGTGCTCTTGCACCACCTGTCATTCCCCTCGAGACATGCCCTGCTCCTCCTCCTGCTGTTGCTCCCCCCACCCCTCCCTGTCCACCCCCCTGCACGCCCACCCCACCAGCAGCAGCCAGGGCGGCAGCGCCGGCAGCGGCAGCGGCAGCAGCAGCATGGAAGCCGCGGCGGGCGTCCAGCATGATGCGCGCCACCTCAGCCATGTCCGGGCGGCGTGCGGACGGCAGCTGCACACAGTGGGCGGCGGTGCGGGCCATCTGCTGCAGGAAGGGCAGGTTGAGCGGCGAGGCGATGCGCGCGTCTGCGATCACGCGGACCTCCCCGCGCTCGATGTAGGGCACGGTCTGGGGGGTGCAGAAGAAGGAGATGTGGTGTAAGATGAGATGAAACAGATTGACGCGCCTCACAAGCAGATGCTTCAACATAACTGCACCACCCTCAAAAGCAGATGATTCAGGTTTCACTGCGCTCGATGTACGGCAGGGCCAGGTGGCGGGGGGGGGGGGGGGCAGGGGAGATGGGGGACGAATGGTGGCATGTGGCAGAGGGTGGCATGATGTGGTGAGACGATGTAGAGGCAAGGGCATGCGACCCTGGGCGGTGATTTGAATCTCGCAGTGCTCGATGTAGAGGATGCCATGGCGGCGAGAGGAGGCGGGTGAGGGGGATGGTTGGCGGGGGAGGGGGGGGTGTTGCGGGATGGAATCAATGTGGCACAAGGGATGGAATCAATGTGGCACAAGGGATGGAAAGGTGGAGACATGCAGAATGTGAAGGGGAGGAAAGCATTGGACAGGTCGCAATAGCGCCAAGCATTGGGCGGGCATGCTCACCCAGGTGCTGATGGGCAGCTCACCATGTGGTGACGTGGACATGACACCTCACCCATGTGCTCACTTGGACATGACAGCTCACCCATGTGTTGATGTGGACATGACAGCTCACCCATGTGGTGATGTGGATGAGGTAGCTCGGGTCTTCCGGGTCCTTGTCTGTGGCTGGCCGCCCCGTCACCATCTCCAACAGCAGCACGCCGTAGCTGAGGGGTCCCCGCGGGGGAGGAGGGGGGGGGACACACATGGGAGGCACACATGGGAGGCACACATGGGAGGCATACATGGGAGGGACACATGGGAGGCACACATGAGAGGCACACATGGGAGGCACACATGGGAGGAGCACATGGGAGGCACACATGGGAGGCACACATGGGAGGCACACATGGGAGGCACACATGGGAGGGACACATGGGAGGCACACATGAGAGGCACACATGGGAGGGACACATGGGAGGCACACATGAGAGGCACACATGGGAGGCACACATGGGAGGCACACATGGGAGGCACACATGGGAGGCACACATGGGAGGCACACATGGGAGGCACACATGGGAGGCACACATGGGAGGCACACATGGGAGGCACACATGGGAGGCACACATGGGAGGCACACATGGGAGGCACACATGGGAGGCACACATGGGAGGCACACATGGGAGGCACACATGGGAGGCACACATGGGAGGCACACATGGGAGGCACACATGGGAGGCACACATGGGAGGCACACATGGGATGAAGGAGTAGAGCAGGGGGGTGAGAGGCACACAGTGAGATGGAACGTAGTAGGGGAGTGTAGGGCTATGAAACGAGGGTGGATGCACAAGGAGTGGGGATGAGGCAGGCACACATGCAAGGAATGGGGTGTGTTGCCTACGGAGCATACCGTCCATCCGCATACATGACTGCGGATGGACCACTGTCATCACCATAACTGCACCACCGTCATCACCATAACTGCACCACCGTCATCACCATAACTGCACCACTGTCATCACCATAACTGCACCCCCGTCATCACCATAACTGCACCCCCGTCATCACCATAACTGCACCACCGTCATCACCATAACTGCACCACCGTCATCACCATAACTGCACCACCGTCATCACCATAACTGCACCCCCGTCATCACCATAACTGCACCCCCGTCATCACCATAACTGCACCCCCGTCATCACCATAACTGGACAAATTGAAAAAAAGTTTTATAGGCAGTCAGAACACAAGCATATATATCAAGGGCCGCTAGAAAGGGAAGGGGGAACAGTGCTACTACCAGTAGGGTGGACCCCTTGTTGAGAAATCATAAGTGGTTTGGAAATCCAACCACTATGGTGGTTGGGTTGGACCAATTACAATTGGTCCCAACATTTGTGGTCTTGGTGCTCGGGGGCTCCAACCACAAGTGGTTTGGATTAACACTCCAAGCACAATGTGCACGCCAACATTTCGTGAAAACCCAATTGCATACCAGCCTAGCAAGCTATAATCTTACACACCCTTTTAGCATGCTAAGGGATGATTTGCACAAAGGGAACAACCCCTGAACCATGAAGCATTGGAGAGGTCGGGAGGGCCAAGGCCAAGGGGGCAACGGAGGGCATAGTGGCCAACCTTGAGCTAGCCTTGGTTGAGATGTTGTCCAAGTTGGCCTCGGCAGCAATCTTGCGGATGACTAGGTGACCCCGCTGGACAAGCTCGCGAATGTTGAAGTAGCGAAGGTCGATGTGCTTGGACCGGAAAGGCCAGGTTTTTGGACGAGGTGGATCTTGCTGGCGTTATCACACCAAAGGGTGGGACAGTGCAATGGGAGAAGCCACCTCAGGAAGCACATCTAGGAGAATTCTTGAGCGGCCATGGTGGCGGCGTAAAGCTCTGCCTTGCAAGAGAACATGGCAACAGCGGAGGAGCGCATGGAGCGTCGGCTGATGAGGCTGCTGCCCAGGGTGAAGCCATAGCCCTGAGAGGAGCGGCGATCGGGATGGGAGTTAGCCCAGGAGAAGTCAAGGTAGCCGGCGAGGAGCGGGGGAGAGGTGTTACCAAGGGTAAAGACATAGTCTTTGGTGCCGCGGAGGTAGCACAAGGCCCTCTTGGCGCAGCAATCTGATGCTCGGCAGTGTGGCGACCAGTGAAAACAACGCGAGCGAGGCCATTGATGGGGTAAATGAGGTCGATTCGGGTACACATCATGAGCAGATAAGCTCGACATGGGGATGATCAACGTCAGATGGAGAGGTTGGAGGGGCGAGCTGGTGGCCAACCAGAATTGGGATGGTAAATGGCTTGGCCTGCGCTGTCGAACCGCTTGAGGTACAACGACTGGGAGCGAGTGATGATGCGGGCTGCCCGGTCACGAGTGATGGACATGCCCACGTATTTCTTGAGTTCGCTCAAGCTTGTACACTTGAAGCAGTCCTGCAACTCAGTCTTCACCTGCACCACATCGGTTGCGTCGTCAGCTTTGAGGAACATGTCGCCCGCGTTGAACAAAATAGTGAAGCGGCTGGGGGCTTCGCAAAGGAAGCGACTGGCGTCAGCGTGGGAGGCACGGAAGCCAAGGGCCTGAAGTGCAGTGTCTAGGTTGGCATGCCACTCATGGGGCACCTGCTCCAAGCCATACACAAGGTGGCGAAGCTCGCAGACGGTGTCAGGCGGGAAGGTAGCATGCAACTCCAAGGGCCGCAACATTAATTCTTTCTCCTACAGTTCGCGTTGGAGGAAGGCGTTGGAGACACCCATACAGACGATCCCCATGTACACGCGTAGACATGGGCAGCATGCCGAGCCAAGCTCGGCTCGAGGCGAGTCGAGCCGGGTTTTTTTTTTGGCCGGCTCGCCCCGAAGAGCCGGGACAAGCCGGTCGAGCCGCGCGGCTCGGCTCGACTCGTCGCAAATTTCAGGGCGAGCCGATGTCGAGTCGGCTCGACTTTGGCTCGACTCCCGAAGCGCGTGGCTCGCCCATGGGGGGTCAAAATTCGACCCCCCTGGAAGTTGACAAACCATTCTAGGTTTTCGCCATCGAGCCTAAGCGTACATCTGAGCTATTTCGCCACCCTAGCTTGCCCTCTCTCGACCAACACCACCACTTCAGATTTTTTTCGACTACCTTTTGGTGTTGTAGGAAGGATGTAAGGGCTTAGGGATCTTTACCTGCAGAACCTTTACAGCGATCTAGCAAGACCTTTTCAAAACCTGCAGAAGAAACCCTTTTGGTGAGTCGAGCCGAGCCGAGCCAAAGTCGAGCCGACCCTTGGCTCGACCCTGAACCCCCGAGTCGAGCCAACCATTTTCGGGCAGCCGGCTCGGGTCGAGCCGAGTCGGCTCGGCTCGAATTTTGCCTGGCTCGAGTTTGAGTCGAGCTGAGTCGAGCCAGGCTCGGCATGCTGCCCATGTCTACACATGCGGATGGCGAAGTCAAGCAAGGTCCGAAGAGTGCGGAGCTTGGCAGCGGAGGAGCACGTAGCCTTGTGGTTGATGCTAGACATGGGCTTAAGTCCGAGCCGGCTCAGCTCGAACCTGACAAGCGGAGCTGAGCCGCTTTTTTTTTTTTTTTTTTTTTTTTTTTAAGCCGAGCTGACCTGACTCGGCTCGGCTAGGCTAGGCTCGGTGAAGCCGATTCGGCGGCTCGGCTCAGCTCGCGGCTTCACTTGTTACGAAGCCAAAGCCGAGCCGAGCCGAGACGAGTCGAGCCGAAGCCTGGCTCGATCCGGCTCAGCTTCAGCGCAACATTAGCGGTGCCATATAACTTCGAAAAGAACGCAGGTTCTCAGCTAGGTGATGAAAATTGCGTGAGTTGCGGCGCGCTGTTTTAGGTCTTGTCGCAAAACGGGGAGGGAGATGAGGGGGGAAGAGTGGAGCATTTGTGAGGAGAGGTTGCAGTTTGTAGACGAGGGGTAGTTAAATGCGGTGAAAGGGAGGGAGTTGGTTAGAAAGGTTGGAGTTTGAAGACGAGGGGGAGTTCAGTGCGGTGAAGGGGAGGGAGTTGGTTGGAAGCCCATTTGGGGATTGTAGACGGGGGGGGTGTTCAGTGCGGTGAAAGGGAGGGAGTTGGTTGGTCAAGATTCGACCACCCAAAAAACGTGACTCTCATTTGAGAGTCGCGTTTTTAGAAACCTTAGCCTAGCCGCCCCCACCCCGCCTTCAAGGCTGAAAACAACAAGCCGAGCCGAGCCAGGCTCGTTACAGGCTCAGCCTCGGCTCGTGGCCGTCTTCACCGAGCCGAGCCGGCCTTCACCTGAAGCCAGCTCGTGATGGCTTGGCTCGGCTCGGCTCGGCTGAAGCCTGACTTGAGGCCAGCTCGAACCCGGCTCGGCTCTGCTCGGACTTAAGCCCATGTCTAGTCCCCATTCCACGTCTGGGTTAGGCATGAGCAAATGAGTCGTGTTGCGAGCCGAAGCTGGCTCGGCTTAGCTCGCGGCTTCACTGAAGCCAAAGCCGAAGCCCAGCCGAGCCAAGCCGAGCTGAAGCCCGGCTCGACCCAGCTTGGCATCAGCGCGACATTAGCGTTGCGATATAACTCACTAAAAGCAAGGGTTCTAGCTGGGTGGCGGGAAGTGCGCGAGATACGGTGCTTAGCTGTTAGGTCTTGTCGCAAAACGGAAAGGCAGGTGAGGGGGGGAGAGTGGAGCATTTGTGAGGAAAGGTTGGAGTTTGTAGACGGGGAGAAGTTCAGTGTGGTGAAAGGGAGGGAGTTCGGTTGGAAATGTTGGAGTTTGTAGACAGGGAGGAGTTTAGTGCAGTGAACGGGAGGGAGTTTGGTTAGAAATGTAGGATTTTGTGGACAGGGAGGAGTTCAGTGCAGTGAAAGGGAGGGAGTTGGGTGGTCAAAATTTGACCCCCCACAAAACACGACTCTCATTTAAGAGTTGCGTTTTAAAAAACCCTAGCGTAGTCACGCTCACCCTAGCTTCAAGGCTTCAAAAACGAGCCGAGCCGAGCTGGCTCGTTTTACGGCTCGGCTTCGGCTCGTAGCCGGCTTCACCGAGCCGAGCCGGTCTTCAGCTGAAGCGAGCCGAAGCTGGCTCGGCTCGACTGAAGCCCAGCTCGAAGCCGGCTCAGAGCCAGCTCGGCTCGGACTGAAGCCCATGTCTAATCAACTCTGGCTGACTCGACTCGATTTGAGTCCAACTCGACTCGTTTTTAGCCGACTCGAGACGACTCTGGCTCGACTCGACTCGTTGCCCATGCCTAGTCTGAGTCAAGCCCTTGGTACAGCATTGGACTGTGTAGATTCGGTCCTCGCCAAGCAGTTGCTTCACATGGAACACCCACTTCCATTCGATAATGTTGGCATGAGGATGTGGGACGACATGGATTAACGAGGAGTTGCAGATGAACAAGGGAAAATGAAAGGGTTAACGAGGAGTTGCAGATGAACAAGGGAAAATGAAAGGGGACGAGGAGACGCCAAACAGCAAGAAGCCAAGGAAGTCCATGTACAGTGGAAGGAGACTCGGAGCGTGCTGCTGGACGTCAATGAACTGCTCAAGGGAGTCCTATTGAGGGGGAGCAGAGGGATCATGGGGAAGACCAAGTACGGGGTCGAGGGAGGAGGAATGGAGACGGGATGCGGCGCTGTATGGGTGATCGTGGCGCATACACCTGGCCTCCTCCAAGTGGCGGCAACGACGACTGCTGCTGGGTTTCGGATTTAAGGTTTAGGGCCACTAGTAGTTGGTTAGACCAAAGGAAGCTGGATCACCCAACCACCTGCTGGGGATATCAAACATGGTTGGAAAACCCAACCACCGTTGGTGCCACCAATTCTGGCTGGGTTGGACCAATCACAATTGGCGGCCCCAACATTTGTTGTCTTGGTGTTCGGAGGCTCCAACCACTAGTGGGTTGGATCACACCTTAAAACCCGAATCCCAAATTACGGGCCGCGTATGAAAGTCACGATTTCGTAGGGTTCTGGGGCAGTAACACGCCTGTCGTCACAGAAGGGGGCGTTTCAAGTTCAATGTGCTGGGTGCTTTGGGACTTGCTGTGCACTGCGTATATCAGCCGTCGATTTTTACAGATCTTCATCCGACGGCTCGAGAGCAAATGTTTTTCCAGAGTAGGCCGAGGCGTAATCGGAACCGTTGAATTCTTTGCCGGCGTATCCGACGGTCAATATTCCAAGCGTTTTACCACTCATCACCCATCCTAACCCTTTTCCATATTGTTCCATATTGTTCGTGAAAAGTACGACCGCTCGCGACTTTCAGGGCATTTCGCAAAGTCCGAGGCCCAAGTTCATACGCATTGCGTATGAACGATTTGGGCCGCGGGTTTTAAGCACAAAATTTGTACACCAACATTCAGGGTACATCAAACTGCAAACTAGCCTGGTTGGCAATAATCTAACATCATCACGATAACTGCACTGCACCACCACTCTCAACACTGGAACTGCACCACCCTCATCACCATAACTCCACCACTCCATAATTGCACCACCCCAAGGTGCAAAAATTTGCCAGGCCGTTTTTTTTTCTATGGTTTTTTCGATCGTTTTTTCGGTGATTTTGGGAAAAAACGCCGAATTTTTAATAGAGCGTTCTGGGTTTTTTTTTTTTTTTTTTTAAGAAGTCCTAAACGTCCACCAGATCCGCGCATTTCGTCCGCCAAAACGCGAGATCCACGCATTTCGGCGGGAGAAATGCCAGATCCGCGCATTTTGGTGGGCAAAAATGTTAGATTCCACGCAATTCGTCCACCAAAACGTGGCATCCTGCACATTTTAGAAGGCAAAATGCCAGATCCGCGCATTTCGCCGGTATTTTTTTCCCTTATTTTTTTTTTATCGGCCAATTCTTTTTACCAATAAAAAAGTATTTTCATTCAATTGTTTTTTTTCGTATTGTACGGTCGTTTAATTAGGTACCGTACCATACGGTCTCACAAGGAAAAAAAAACGGCCGTATTTTGTACCTTGCACCATCCTCATCACCATAACTGCGCTACCGTCATCACCACATAACTGCACCAGTAGCGCACATATGCTATGCATGCATAAGGATTGATGCACACACCTGTACACATCGCTGGCAGTGGAGACCTTCTCGCACGTCATGTACTCGGGGTCCAGGTACCCCCTGGTGCCTGCCACGCGCGTGTAAGCACCCTCCTTCTCTGTCCCCTCTTTTAGCAAACGCAGCAACCCGAAGTCAGCTATCTTCACCTGCATGGGTTAAGAGGCGTGTATGCATGTGAGTTCTTGCCCTAGATTCATGTTATCTGCACTGCACCGCTGCAACAAGCTTCCAAGGTTGGTAAAACGTGACATGCTGATACTCCGATTCTCATGCTCATGTTATCTTAATCTCACTCGCTCTAGCCCACCTGGTGGCAATCCTCTACGAGCACCTCATTGTACAGCTTGGTGCCATGATGCGCAATGGTAATGCAGGTACTCGAGCCCCTCTACCTACTAATGACTCCACTATCACCCACTTGCCACTCAACTACCACTTGCCACTCAACTCCCGCCAACTTGCCACTCATCTCCCGCCCACTTGCCACTCAACTCCCACCCACTTGCCACTCAACTCCCGCCCGCTTGCCACTCAACTCCCGCCCACTTGTCACTAGGCTTGAGCAACGGGTCGGGTCGGGTCGGGTAACCCGACCCGAACCCGACTTTTTGACGGGTCGGGTCGACATTTGCGGAAGGTTGACCCGACCCTCGGATACCCGACCCGACCCGACCCGACCCGACCGATAAAACCCGACCCGTCGGGTCGGCTTATTACCCGTCCCTGCCCCTATGCCAACCCGACCCGACCCGACCCGAAATCGGGTTAGGTAGAACCCGACCTATTAAACACGGGTCGGGTTGACATTTCCTGAACTCCGACCCGACCTGACCCGACCCGACCCGACCCGAACCCGACATCGGGTAGGGCAAAGTCGGGTCGGGTCGGGTCGGGTCGGGTTCATGCTCAAGCCTACTTGTCACTCAACTCCCGCTCGCCTGCCACTCAACTCCCACCCGCTTGCCACTCAACTCCCACCCACTTGCCACTCAACTCCCACCCACCTGGTAGTCCTTTGCTTCGCTTGCACCCACCTGGTAGTCCCCTGCTTCGCCTGCACCCACCTGGTAGTCCTCAGTGAGCAGCACGTTGCAGGGCTTGATGTCGCGGTGCACGATGGGCTTCTCCGCGTGGCAGTGCAGGTACTTGAGCCCCTCCGCCAGCCCCAAGGCGGCGTCCAGCCGCTCCTCAAAGGTCAGCAGGTGGCCCTTGAAGCGCGCGTACAGATGGTCGCCCAGACACCCATTGCGCACAAACTCGTACACCAAGATCTGAGGAGGAAGGGGGGAGGGGGGGGAGGGTGTTGATGGGTGGCTGGGTGAGCTGCCGCTCCTCGAAGGCCTGCAGGTGGCCCTTGATGCTCACAGGCCCGTTGCGCGCACTCGTACACCAACGCCTGGGGAGGGGGCGAGGGAAGGGGGGTGTTTAGATGGGTGCTTATGGACTTAACGAATACGTGTACGTAGGCTTGAGCAAAACCGGGTAATTACCCGACCCGACCCGGTTTTGCAATACCCGACCTCGGGTCGGGTAATTTCGGGTCAGGTCCGGGTCGGGTAGTATGTCCAGGACCCTTACCCGGACCCGGCCTTAGGGGACGGGTAATACAATACCCGCCTGGCGGGTCCGGGTATACCCGACCCGGTTACCCTGAAAAGCAGGTAATACTACCCGCCACCTACTAGTGGACATCCTAAAGTTGGGCTAGGCTAGGTAGGGTTCCTGAAAACGCGACTCTCAAATGAGAGTCGCGTTTTCGGGGGGTCGAATTTTGACCACCCAACTCCCTCCCTTTTACCGCACTGAACTCCTCCCCGTCTACAAACTCCAATTTCCAACCAAACTCCCTCCCTTTCACCGCACTGAACTCCTCTGTCTACAAACTCCAACATTTCCAACAGAACTCCCTCCCTTTCACCGCACTGAACTCCTCCCCATCTACAAACTCCAACCTCTTCTCCAACTCCCACCCAACTCCCTCCCTTTCACCGCACTTAACTCCTCCCCATCTACAAACTCCAACTTCTCCTCACAAATGCATCACTCGTCCCCCCTCACCTCCAAAACCGTTTTGCCGCAAGACCTAAAACACAGCGCGACTTACGCCCATGTCTAGGTGGAATACCCGACCTCGAGTATATTTTACCCAACCGGGTCGGGTACCCGTTACCTGACACGTCGGGTAGAATTTCGGGTAGCGGGTATTGAATACCCGCCCGGGTAACCCGGACCCGACCCGCCGGGTAATTTTCAGGATTTCCGATACCCGACCCGCCCTAAAAGCGGATCCGGGGTACCGGGTACCCGACCCGGGCGGATAGTTTGCTCAAGCCTACATGTACGTCGGTTCACGTTACGATCTTCTTAAAACCAGTTTACGTTTCAGGGCAGAGTTGTATTCTTTAGGCTGCCCAAGAGTGCCCCTTGTATGAAGATAGGGTTGAGCAAAACCGGGTAATTACCTGACCGACCCGGTTTTGCAATACCTGACCTCGGGTCGGGTAATTCGGGTCGGGTAATATGCCCAAGACCTTTACCCGGACCCGGCCTTAGGGAGCGGGTAATACAATACCCACCTGGCGGGTCCGGGTATACCCGACCCGGTTATCTAAAAAGCGGGTATTACTACCCGCCACCTACCAGTGGGCCTCTTAAAAACGGGCTAGGCTTGCTACGGTTTCTGAAAACGCGACTCTCAAATGAGAATCGCGTTTCTGGGGGGTCGAATTTTGACCACCCAACTCCCTCCCTTTCAACGCACTGAACTCCTCCCCGTCTACAAACTCCAACATTTTCAACCAAACTCCCTCCCTCCCTTTCACCGCACTGAACTCCTCCCTGTTTACAAACTCCAACATTTTCAACCAAACTCCCTCCCTCCCTTTCACCGCACTGAACTCCTTCCCATCTACAAACTCCAACCTTTTCTCCAACTCCCACCCAACTTCCTCCCTTTCACCGCACTTAACTCCTCACCATCTACAAACTCCAACTTCTCCTCACAAATGCATCACTCGTCCCCCCTCACCTTCCAAACCGTTTTGCTGCAAAACTAAAACATTGCGCGACTTACGCCCATGTCTAGGTGGAATACCCGACCTCGGTTACTAAGTACCCGACCTGACAGGTACCCGTTACCAGCCCTGCCGGGTAACGTTTCGGGTAATGGTAATCGAATACCCGCCCGAGTAACCCGGACCCGACCCGCCGGGTAATATTCTGGAATCCGAATACCCGACCCGCCCTAAAAGCGGATCCGGGTCCAGGTACCCGACCGGCGCGGGAATTATGCTCAAGCCTGTATGAAGATGGCTTTCCACTCATTTTACCAAACATCCAAATAAGTTTGTCCCATCAGAAAATATCGTTTCTGGTGGACTCCCCGATTGGTCAAAACTTGCAAGTGTCGGTTGCGTGTTGCGGGGAAATTGGTCGGCATGTCACTTACCAACCAAGTCAAATGTGTCGCAGGTGCGACGACACGATGACGTTGAGAAGGGTTGGTGACTCAACAATTAGACATAAAAAAAGAAGTCAGCGCCTCCTTCTTAACACCTCCCCTCCCCTTCCCATCGACCGCATCCATTTTCCCCAGCAACACCCACTCTAGGCTTGAGCAAAATACCCGCGCGGGTCGGGTACCCCAGACCCGGATCCGCATTTTGGGCGGGTCGGGTATCCGGATTACGGAATATTACCCGGCGGGTCGGGTCCGGGTTACCTAGGCGGGTATTCGATATCTATTACCCGAAACGTTACCCGACAGGGCAGGTAACGGGTACCCGTCGGGTCGGGTAATTAATACCCGTGTCGGGTATTACATCTAGACATGGGCGTAAGTCGCGCTGTGGTTTAAGTTTTGCGGCAAAACGGTTTGGGAGGTGAGGGGGAACGAGTGGAGCAGGAGTTAAGAGCGGTGAAAAGGAGGGAGTTGGGTGGGAGTTGGAGAAACGGTTGGAGTTTGTAGATGGGAAGGAGTTGAGTGCAGTGAAAGAGAGGGAGCTTATTTTGAGTTGGAGAAAATGTTCGAGTTTGTAGATGAGGAGGAGTCAAGTGCGGTGAAAGGGAGGGAGTTGGTTGGAACTTGGAGAGGGGTTGCAGTCAAGGTACAAAATACGGCCGTTTTTTTCCTTTCGAGGCCGTATGGTATGGTACAGAATTAAACGGCTGTATAATACGAATTAAAACTAGGCTTGACCAGACTACCCGCCCGGGTCAGGTACCAGTTACCCGGATCCGCTTTTAGGGCGGGTCGGGTATCGGGAATCCTGAAAATTACCCGGCGGGTCGGGTCCGGGTTACCCGGGCGGGTATTCAATACCCGCTACCCGACGTGTCAGGTAACGGGTAACCAACCCGGTCGGGTAAGAAATACCCGAGGTCGGGTATTCCACCTAGAGATGGGCGTAACTTACGCTGAGCAAACTACCCGCCCGGGTCGGGTACCCGGTACCCGGACCCGCTTTTAGGGCGGGTCGGGTATCGGAAATCCTGAAAATTACCCGGCGGGTCGGGTCCGGGTTACCCGGGGCGGGTATCAATACCCGCTACCCGAAATGCTACCCGACGCGTCGGGTAGCGGGTACCCGACCCGAAATCGGGTAGCGGTCTACCCGATGGAACCAGTGAGACATTAGTGGCGCTGGTAGAGAAATTTCATCAAATTTCTAGGTTAGGTGAGCTGCTAGGTCACTTAGAGCATTGTAGATTGGCAGGGGTTGGGTTTCGTAGATACAGATGCATTCAAAGTGGTTGAATTGAGGGGAATTGGTTGGAAGTCAAACCAATCGAATTTCCCCAATCGATTTTGCAACCCAACCTGAATCCAGCCAACCGCACAGCCCCACATTGGTTGGAGTTCCAACCAATTGACTCTGGGGGTCAAAGAATCAAACCCCCAGAAACCGCACACAACCCCATTCCAACTAGAAAACCCAACCAACTCCCCACTCAGGCCCCACTCACGACCCACTCACCACACCAGAACTGTTAAAGATTGGCGCACCTCATACTCCCTCCCGCAGCTCACGTTTTTTGAAGCACCATCTAGGTCGTCGGCTTAGTAGCCCAACAGGGTAGAAAAACGCGGGTAATACTACCCGCTTTTCAAGGAAACCGGGTCGAGTATACCCGGACCCGCCAGGCGGGTATTAAATTACCCGCCCCCAAATCCCGGGTCCGGGTATTGGTCCTGGGCATGTTACCCGACCCGTACCCGACCCGAAAATACCCGACCCGAAGTCGGGTATAGCAAAACCGGGTCGGGTCGGGTAAATACCCGGTTTTGCTCATGCCTAGGCGTAAGTCGCGCTGTGTTTTAGGTTTTGCGGCAAAACGGTTTCGGAGGTGAGGGGAGACGAGTGGAGCATAAGTGAGGAGAAGTTGGAGTTGTAGATGGTGAGGAGTTAAGTGCGGTGAAAGGGAGGGAGTGGGGTGAGAGTTGGAGAAGAGGTTGAAGTTTGTAGATGGCGAGGAGTTCAGTGCGGTGAAAGGGAGGGAGTTTGGTTGGAAATGTTGGAGTTTGTAGACAGAGGAGTTCAGTGCGGTGAAAGGGAGGGAGTTGGGTGGTCAAAATTCGACCCCCAGAAAACGCGACTCTCATTTGAGTCGCGTTTTCAGAAACCCTACCTAGCCTAGCCCATCTTTAGGATGTCCACTAGTAGGTGGCGGGTAGTATTACCCGCTTTTCAGGGTAACCGGGTCGGGTATACCTGGACCCGCCAGGCGGGTATTGTATTACCCGTCCCCTAAGGCCGGGTCCGGGTAAGGGTCCTCTGGGCATATTACCCGACCCAGACCCGACCCGAAAATACCCGACCCGAGGTCGGGTATTGCATTACCGGGTCGGGTCGGGTAATTACCCGGTTTAGCTCGAACCTAATTAAAACGGTTGGGAAAAAAAAAAGCCGTTTTTTTAAACCTTGGGGGTGAGCAACCGAGTCGAGTTTCTGACTCGACTCGTCAACTCGGCTCGCCTTTTGACGAGTGGAGTATTTATTTTTTGGCTCTTTCGACTCGACCCGAGTCAAGTCGAGTCGAGTTGGTCGAGTCACGAGTCATAGCTCGACTCGTCCAACAATTTTGGCCGAGCCACGATCGAGGCGAGTCAAATTCGGACTCGGTCGAGTCGGAATTTGACTCGCATGGAAACTCGCCCGACATTCGATGATGGATTGGGGTTGGGGGAAGGGGGGGGGGGGGGGAGAAAGGGAGGGGGGGAGCGTGGGACATGCAAACATTTCGTCGACGAATTGTCCCCTGGTTGGGGGGGTTGGGGGAAAGGTGATTGAGGGAATCAGGTACTTACAAACAATTCGTCGACGAATCTGCTCAGCCTAGGTCGATCTAAATCTACTCGTAATACAGCCGCGCGCCAGCAGCAGGAACTAAAACTAGGCACCTTGCTCGTTTTTTCTTGCTGCTTGGTGCGCAATTCTCACGGATCCGCCACCAGATTGTTAGGGCCTATCATGTGGACCTGGAACGCATATGGCTGCAGCCCCCATCCCACCCCCCCCTCTAGCCCCCCCCCCAAAAACGAGTCGAGCTTTGAGTCAAGGGTGACTCGGCCCCCAAAACCCGAGTCACGGGTTTCAACCCTCAGCTAGGCATGAGCAAAACCGGGTATTTACCCGACCCGACCCGGTTTTGCTATACCCGACTTCGGGTCGGGTATTTTCGGGTCGGGTACGGGTTGGGTAACATGCCCAGGACCAATACCCGGACCCGGGATTTGGGGGCGGGTAATTTAATACCCGCCTGGCGGGTCCGGGTATACTCGACCCGGTTTCCTTGAAAAGCGGGTAGTATTACCCGCGTTTTTCTACCCTGTTGGGCTACTAAGCCTACGACCTAGATAGTGCTTCAAAAAACGTGAGTTGCGGGAGGGAGTATGAGGTGCGCCAAATCTTTAACAGTTCTGGTGTGGTGAGTGGGTCGTGAGTGGGGCCTGAGTGGGGAGTTGGTTGGGTTTTCTAGTTGGGATGGGGTTGTGTGCGGTTTCTGGGGGTTTGATTCTTTGACCCCCAGAGTCAATTGGTTGGAACTCCAACCAATGTGGTGCTGTGCAGTTGGCTGGATTCAGGTTGGGTTGCAAATTCGATTGGGGAAATTCGATTGGTTTGACTTCCAACCAATTCCCCCCAATTCAACCACTCTGAATGCATCTGTATCTACGAAACCCAACCCCTGCCAATCTACAATGCTCTAAGTGACCTAGCAGCTCACGTAACCTAGAACCTTGATGAAATTTCTCTACCAGCGCGACTAATGTCTCGCTGGTTCCGTCGGGTACCCGCTACCCGACGCGTCGGGTAGCATTTCGGGTACCGGGTATTGAATACCCGCCCGGGTAACCCGGACCCGACCCGCCGGGTAACATTCAGGATTTCCCATACCCGACCCGCCCTAAAAGCGGATCCGGGTACCGGGTACCCGACCCGGGCGGGTAGTATGCTCAACCCTACCCTCAGCCTCCGACTCGGGTCTGACTCGATTGTGACTCGACTTGATTTTGGCTCGACTCGGGTCTGACTCAGTTGTGACTCGACTTGATTTTGGCTCGACTCGGGTCTGACTTGGTTGTGACTCGACTTGACTCGGCCCATGCTCATGCCTACTTGTCGAGCTAACATTCCCCATTCCCTCATGTAACCCGTTTGCGTCTGCCATCGACTGTTGGTTCCCCCCAGCCCGGTATAAGCACAAGTGCTCCTTGTGGCGTTTTTTTTGGGTTTTTTTTCCCTGATTTTTTGTTATCATCTGCCCGGCGTAATTTACGCGTACAAACGTAAACCTAACATAAGCATAATTTTACAAGTCATTTTACGTGTACGTGACTTGAAAAACGTAATTGACCACCTTAGTGGTTGGGTGAGCTGCCGCCTCTAAATTAGGCTTGAGCAAAACCGGGTAATTACCCGACCCGACCCGGTTTTGCAATACCCGACCTCGGGTCGGGTAATTTCGGGTCGGGTCCGGGTCAGGTAATATGCCCGGACCCTTACCCGGACCCGGCCTTAGGGGGCGGGTAATACAATACCCGCCTGGCGGGTCCGGGTATACCCGACCCGGTTACCCTGAAAAGCGGGTAATACTACCCGCCACCTACTAGTGGACATCCTAAAGTTGGGCTAGGCTAGGTAGGGTTCCTGAAAACGCGACTCTCAAATGAGAGTCGCGTTTTCTGGGGGTCGAATTTTGACCACCCAACTCCCTCCCTTTCACCGCACTGAACTCCTCCCTGTCTACAAACTCCAATTTCCAACCAAACTCCCTCCCTTTCACCGCACTGAACTCCTCCCTGTCTACGAACTCCAACATTTCCAACAAAATTCCCTCCCTTTCACCGCACTGAACTCCTACCCATCTACGAACTCCAACCTCTTCTCCAACTCCCACCCAACTCCCTCCCTTTCACCGCACTTAACTCCTCCCCATCTCCAAACTCCAACTTCTCCTCACAAATGCTCCACTCGTCCCCCCTCACCTCCAAAACCGTTTTGCCGCAAGACCTAAAACACAGCGCGACTTACGCCCATGTCTAGGTGGAATACCCGACCTCGGGTATATTTTACCCGACCGGGTCGGGTACCCGTTACCCGACACGTCGGGTAGCATTTCGGGTAGCGGGTATTGATACCCGGCCCGGGTAACCCGGACCCGACCCGCCGGGTAATTTTCAGGATTTCCGATACCCGACCCGCCCTAAAAGCGGGTCCGGGTACCGGGTACCCGACCTGGGCGGGTAGTTTGCTCAACCCTACTCTAAATACCCCTTTTGATATTCGAATTGAAGATGTAAGAGGTAAAAGGGAAAAGATGCTATGAGGAGCGAGCGAAAAGGTCACACCTGCAAAGAGAGGGGCGAGTGGTAGGGGAGCACCTACAAAGAGAGGGGGGCGACACCTGCTGCTGAGAGAGGGGGACGGCACCTGCTGCTGAGAGCGGGGGGTGCTACCTGCGGCCCAGAGAGAAGGGCGTTACCTGCTCATCGTTCTCGTTGCAGTAGCCAAGGAGGCGCACGAGGTTCTTGTGGCTCAACTTGGACACTGCCTTCACCTGGCGCATGGAGGGGGGTTGGTCTTGTGTAACATCATTATATGCGATCGGACTTGACCAGTGATGGCCATCCACGAATCAAAACACCACAGACAGATCATATCAGACCTTGCAGTCGCCTTGAGACGAAGCCCACCCCCACACATCTCTCCAGGCAGAGCACTGACCTCCTCCTCGAACATGGTGGCAACGCTGGTCGATCGCTCCACAGCAGCTGCGCGCTTGAAGGCCACCTCCATACTACCCACCCCACCACTCCTGCCGCCCACCCTCGCAGCAGTGCCGCCCACCCCAGCACCATGTGCGCTGGGGGCTTCAACGAAAGCAGCACTGCTCCCACTCGTGCTGCTCCCTCCACTCATGCCGCTACCTGCTTTCGTGCCGCTGCCCCCACTCATGCTGCTGCCTGCTCTTATGCTGCTGGCATCGGCTCTCTTCCACAGCTTCCCACTCCAACCGTGCTGCTGCGACCCGCCAATCACACCCCAGTACACCGACCCGAAGCCTCCCTTCCCTAGAAGGTTGTCGGGGCTGAGGTGGTTGGTGGCGTCCATCACCTCCCTCCACGTGTACTTCCTAAAGCCCTGCTGCAGCTCCCGCTCCCACGCTGCCAGGGGGGAGACGCAGGGAGGAGGGAGGAAACGCAATTTCTGTTTCCATGCCCGCGTCATGTAGGTCAACTGCATAAACCACGCTGGCATGCCCGCTCAAAGGCTGCACCACGCCGCCCCATGTCATGGGGGATGCTGCCCTTGGTGTGGTGTTCTGCAGGTGCAACTTACTATGGAGCCAAGCACACCCTGAAGCCAGCCATGAAGGACAGTGAAGTGCCAGAGACCCAATTGAGTAATCATAGACTATAGAGGTAATTGAATGAATCAAGAGAGACACTGAATAAATAGAGATGATAGAGTCAATCGTATGAATAGAGACGACGGAGTCAAAGCGAGTTCCTGCGGATGTTCCGAACATTGGTTGGGAACGATTGCACGTCATACTTCTCGTTAGCAGTTACTCGTCAGCAATTGGGGACTCTGAGTCGGCATTCGGAACTCAAGGATTTTTTTAACACACAACCTTTTTGTCAGGTTGCTGCTCTTATTCCTTCAGTGCGCGCGGATTTACTGCCTTCTCAGCTTAAACGTGGAGTTTTCTTTTCAGCTTGAACCGACCCCGAGAAGGATTCAGGTACCGATACCCGATGCTTTCAAGGGTTGCCCAGAACCTTGGACTTATTGACGAAAAACGTTTGGGCAAGTACCCGTGAAACGCTTACCTTGGACGACCGTTCCCATCCAATGTTTGGAACATCCGTAGGAACTTGCTCTAAATAAAACTAATAGAGACTATAAATATAATTGAAGTACTAGAAACTAAAGAATCAATAAAATCAATAAATACTCTAGAGCCAATCGATCCAATAGTTATCGAATCAATGGAGATTATAAATCAACAAAATCAATAGAGAATATGAAGTCAATAGAATCAGTACTAGAGAGTTACCGAAGCAAATCAACAGAGACTAGAGAGTTAATTGAATCAACATGATAACGACTAGAATCAATAGACGCAATCAAACCATTAGAGTCAACCATGAATTCAAACACATTTGCCTCAATGGCACACCGAATTGTGCTCACCCTTGCGGCTGCCGGGCCCCCACGAGTAGTACCAGATGTATAGCAGCGCCAGCAGGGCCGCCACCACCAGCACCACACACCCCACCACAATGCCAATGATGCCTCCAGTGGACAGAGCTGGTGGGTGGGCGATAGGAATTGGGGCATGTGCAAAGGTGGGCAGGAGCCAAGAGATCGGAAGCGAGAGGAGGAAGAGCTTGAGGAGTGTGAGTCTGATGAAGGAACGGGGGGGGGTAGAGCGAGACCCAATGTTCTTCAATCGAGCTTAAAGATGATCATTCTTGGGACCCTGGCCAAGGAGGCATAGAACCAAGAGACCTTTGAGATGGGTGAAAGAACAGAGAGGGAGGAGGGGGAAAGTGGGATAGCGGGCAAGGAGAAAGTAACGGCCAACTGCAGCACGAGGAGGGGAAGGGAAGATGTACAGTGCGGTTTGAGGAAGGCGATATGCCATGCCGTTGAAAGAAAGGATGCAGGAAGGCGAGGTGATTGAAGCGAGGCAGCTACCACCACAGCAAACCAGCTCCACAACGTGCACTCAAGAGAGGGCTCAAGGTGGCGGGAGAGGGTTACGGGATGGCTGGCAGCCTTGACAGAAGGCGGGGCAGATGTAGGAGCAGAAGGGCAGATCGCTCTGCAGCCTGCCGGGGCAGCAGGAGTCGACAGGACGCGTGGGGCAGCGCAGATTGTCGGTTAGGAGTGAGCTGGTTTGGGAGGGGGGCGGAGAGAGGGGAAGGGGGGGAAGAGGGGGGGGAGAGGGGGAGGTAGGAGAAGGAAGGAGGGGAGGGAAGTCAAAGAGGGGAACTGAGACCCCTGAAAAGTCAACGGGGTGCGTGGCGAGGGAAGTGAGAGCGGGGCCGTGAGACACCTCAAAAATCAATGGGGTGTGTGGTGGGTGGGACTGACGGGTGGGCCAGTCTTGCTGGTTGGTGGTGGATGATGGGGTGGTGATGGTGGTGGATGATGGGGTGGTGATGGTGGTGGATGATGGGGTGGTGATGGTGGTGGATGATGGGGTGGTGATGGTGGTGGATGATGGGGTGGTGATGGTGGTGGATGATGGGGTGGTGATGGTGGTGGATGATGGGGTGGTGTTGGTGGTGGATGATGGGGTGGTGATGGTGGTGGATGATGGGGTGGTGATGGTGGTGCGTGGGTTCAAGGGATTCGGGGCGTACAGAGTGCCAAGGGACTGAATGGTGGCCCAGCAGGGCGGCAGCTTGCCCCCCAGGAGGCGGTTGTGGTCCAGCGACCTGATGGGGTGGAAGCAAGTATGGAGGGAGGGGGGAGGGGAGAGGGGAGGGGGGAGGGAACGGTTTGCAATCGGCATTGTGTGGCGATTGTCCTTTTCCCTTTCCATAGCTGGGAACCCCAATGACCACTCCGCATTGTCATTTTCTTGCACCCCAGCCTAGTCCGGGCTCCTCCGTCTTGTGAATCTATCATTTCATAATTGAGCTGTGAGTGGTGTGGGTCAGGTCCCGCCAGGATACCCCCTGCGAGTCGTGTCAACGAATGTATCTCGCCGATTGCGCAACCTTTCAACGCAATCGAGATTGAGGAAAGCTGGACACCGATTAAACCTTACAACATATCTGAAGTTTAGAGTGCTTTCTGGGTGGTAATTTTATCTGTTGTGGGGGCGTTGATTTTTGTGCATTCGAGGTTCCAGGCAAATTTTGGGAACTTCGTTTTAAGCACTTTCGGCCACCATTAGTCTTCTAGACGCTTTTCTACCCTAATAAAATGGAGGAGAGGGGGCAGAGGCCGAGGGACCAAAGAAGAGGGGAGATGAGGAGGCAAGATGCAATGTAGAATGTACGCAATGGCTCACAATGACATGCAACGACACGCAACGACACGCAATGATGCGCAATGGCACGCAATGATGCGCAATGGCATGGATGGAGGCAGGAGCGAGCAGCACAGGTGATGAATGCTCCGATGTGCAAGGCGTTCACAAATGGCATTCAGCTGAACGTCGGCTGTTCATCCAGCCATGACTTGGTGAGGTGGCCACTGGACACATCCAAAAAGGTTGCACGAGTGAGAGTACGCATGGCATGGCAACCTACTTAAGGTTGGAAGGGGTTGGTGAGATGCTTACAACTCAACCAGGTTAGTGAGTTGCCCCAACGAGAGAGGAAGGTCGCCTGAGAGGTTGTTGCGACTCAAATGGCTGGAGGCGGAGAGGAAAAGGGTAGGGAGGGGGTTTGGGGGGAAGGAGGGGGAATAAGGCGGGGGGAGATGAAGCAGGAGGGAGGGAAGTGGAGAAACAAGGCATACCTGTCTGTAGAGACTCAGCAGCATAGTACCCTCACCAGTACGGCAGGCTGCGGCAGACTCACCAGCACTGCGGCAGACTCACCAGCACTGCGGCAGACTCACCAGCAGTGCGGCAGACTCACCAGCACTGCGGCAGACTCACCAGCACTGCGGCAGACTCACCAGCACTGCAGCAGACTAGGGTGGAGCATACTACCCGCCCGGGTCAGGTACCCGGTACCCGGATCCGCTTTTAGGGCGGGTCGGGTATCGGAAATCCTGAAAATTATCCGGCGGGGTGGGTCCGGGTTACCCGGGCGGGTATTCAATACCCGGTACCCGAAATGCTACCCGACGCGTCGGGTAACGGGTACCCGACCCGAAATCGGGTAGCGGTCTACCTGACGGAACCAGCGAGACATTAGTCGCGCTGGTAGAGAAATTTCATCAAGTTTCTAGGTTACGTGAGCTGCTAGGTCACTTAGAGCACTGTAGATTGGCAGGGGTTGGGTTTCGTAGATACAGATGCATTCAGAGTGGTTGAATTGGGGGGAATTGGTTGGAAGTCAAACCAATCGAATTTCCCCAATCCAATTTGCAGCCCAACCTGAATCCAGCCAACCGCACAGCACCACATTGGTTGGAGTTCCAACCAATTGACTCTGGGGGTCAAAGAATCAAACCCCCAGAAACCGCACACAACCCCATCCCAACTAGAAAACCAAACCAACTCCCCACTCAGGCCCCACTCACGACCCACTCACCACACCAGAACTGTTAAAGATTTGGCGCACCTCATACTCTCTCCCGCAACTCACGCTTTTTTAAGCACTATCTAGGTCGTAGGCTTAGTAGCCCAACATGGTAGAAAAACGCGGGTAATACTACCCGCTTTTCAAGGAAACCGGGTCGCGTATACCCAGACCCGCCAGGCGGGTATTAAATTACCCGCCAGGCGGGTATTAAATTACCCGCACCCAAATCCCGGGTCCGGGTATTGGTCCTGGGCATGTTACCCGACCCGTACCCGATCCGAAAATACCCGACCCGAAGTCGGGTATAGCAAAACCGGGTCGGGTCGGGTAAATACCCGGTTTTGCTCATGCCTACAGCAGACTCACAAGTACTGCAGGCTGTTCATGTGGCCCCAGGAGTCGGGGATGGGGCCTGAGAGACCCATGTCCATGAGATGGCTGGGGGGAGGGGGGGGGGAGGGAGCGCGAGAGAGGGATGGAGCCTGAGAGACCCGATCCTCAGATGGTCGGAAGGGGCGGGGGAGAGAGTTGGAGGAGACGGACAGTAGGGGGGGAGGTGAGTGAGGAATACAGGCGAGTGACTCATGATGGTGAGTAAGCAATACATGTGAGTGAGGAATACAGGTGAGTGAGCCAGTTCCGAAATGAAGCGTACAGGTGGGTGAGGTTCTTGAGCTGCGAGTAGGATTCGGGCAGCGAGCCGCCCATGTGGTTGGAGTAGAGCTTGCTGTAGGGGAGATGGAGTGAGGAAGGGAGGGAGGGATGGGTGCAGACGTGGAGGGATGGGGGCAGACGTGGAGGGATGGGGGCAGACGTGGAGGGATGGGGGCAGACATGGAGGGATGGGGGAAGACATGGGTTTGGAGTGAAGCATGCTCCAGTGAGGTTGGAGTGAGCGCGAGAGCAAGGCACCTGTGGCCACTGGAATGAGACATGTGAGAGAGCATGAGGGAGGTGACGTGGACAACAATATGTCTGTCAGCGCATCAAGGACTCAAGTGTAACAAGACGGAGGTCACTGTGGCAAAGAGCTCACAGCAGCACACAGGTGTTATTGAGGCAACTCAGGTGTTTTTGAGGCAACTTAGGTGCATTCGATCAAGATGACTCACAGCTGCTGCAGGTGGGTCATGTTGCCAAAGAAGGCCGGCAGCGGGCCGGAGAAAGTGTTGTTGTTGGCAATGCTGCCCGCGGGATGGAGGGGGTTGGGGGGGTGGGGGCGGGTTACGGTGCCTTTGAGTCGACTGGCAAGATAGGCAGACGGCGATGGAAGGAGGTTTGCTGGCATTGCTGTGCAGGGGTTGAAGGGGGTTTGGGGCAGGGCGACAGTCAAGGAGTGGTAGCTGTGGGATGGTGGAGGAGGAAGAAGGGGCATCTGCAGAAAGGATGTGGGGCAGTAGTGGGGGTTGAGGGGACAGGCCACGAGTGCAGAGGGCACGAGCAAAGTGCCAGAGCCCAGAAGCAGGAGGGAGGTGAAAGAAAAGTGCTCAACAGCTCACGGCTCACCAGAGAGAAAACAGCAACGGGTGGCAAGAGAAATGATTGGTTGTCAAGAGTATTAAGCCAGAAACGGGCAGAAAGCAAGGGTGTCACTGTAGGAAGCGCTAAAGAGCGACGGGTTGAGGGAAGGGACTGCTGACAAGAAGTTGAGCTTGGAGAGTGCCGTGAGGTTGGAAGGGATGGTGCCCTCGAAGTGGTTGCGCTCTAAACGGCTGAAGATTCACAGCACACACGCGCACACACACACACGCACGCACGCACACACACACACACACATGCGCACGCGCGCGCACACACACACGCACGCACAGACACACACACACACACGCACGCGCGCACACACACACACATGCACGCACACACCACGCGCATGCGTGTGTGCGCATACCCCCCCTCCCCTCTCCCTCTCCCCCCCCACACACACAGGCATGCACGCACGCCCCCCACTCTCCCCCACCCACACGCACACACACAGAGGCGCACCACGAGTTAGAGAGCACGGATACACGTGTGCACGAAATGCAGTCCCACTTGCAGTTGCATCCTCTTGCCACCCGTGTGCGTCTGTGTGCGTCTGTGTGCGTGTGTGTGTGTCTGTGTGTGCAACTTGCATCACTACAGACACAAGGGCACAATCGTCTCAAATAGTCAACAGTGGAACCTAGGGAAAACTGGGGGGAGGGCTGGGGGGAGGAGGACTGGGGGGGCTGCTTTGCGTTGGAGGACTGCATTTGAGTCGACTCAAAAGCGGACTGGGAGACGGTCAGAGCAGAGTGGAGAAGGGTAGGCAGTACGGTCTCTTTCCATTCTCTCTCGATCCTTATCCCCCTCTATTCCTCCCTTCCTCTCCCCCTCCCCTCTATTCCTCCCTCCCTCTCTCTCCCCTCCCTCCCCCACTTCCTCGCCCTCCTCCTTCTCCCCATCCACTCTCCCTCCTCCCTCCCTGCCCCACTCTTCCCCTCTCCCTCTTAGAATCAGATGGGGTGTGCAGGTGCTTCAGGTGGGGGACACGGACAGGGTGTGCAGGTGCTTCAGGTGGGGGACACGGACAGGGTGTGCAGGTGCTTCAGGTAGGGGACACGGACAGGGTGTACAGGTGCTTCAGGTAGGGGACACGGACAGGGTGTGCAGGTGCTTCAGGTGGGGAACACGGACAGGGTGTGCAGGTGCTTCAGGTGGGGGACACGGACAGGGTGTGCAGGTGCTTCAGGTGGGGGACACGGACAGGGTGTACAGGTGCTTCAGGTAGGGGACACGGACAGGGTGTGCAGGTGCTTCAGGTGGGGGACACGGACAGGGTGTGCAGGTGCTTCAGGTAGGGGACACGGACAGGGTGTGCAGGTGCTTCAGGTGGGGGACACGGACAGGGTGTGCAGGTGCTTCAGGTGGGTGACACGGACAGGGTGTACAGGTGCTTCAGGTGGGGAACACGGACAGGGTGTGCAGGTGCTTCAGGTGGGGAACACGGACAGGGTGTGCAGGTGCTTCAGGTGGGGAACACGGACAGGGTGTGCAGGTGCTTCAGGTGGGGGACACGGACAGGGTGTACAGGTGCTTCAGGTAGGGGACACGGACAGGGTGTGCAGGTGCTTCAGGTGGGGGACACGGACAGGGTGTGCAGGTGCTTCAGGTAGGGGACACGGACAGGGTGTGCAGGTGCTTCAGGTAGGGGACACGGACAGGGTGTGCAGGTGCTTCAGGTAGGGGACGCGGACAGGGTGTGCAGGTGCTGCAAGTGGTGGACACGGACAGGGTGTGCAGGTGCTTCAGGTGGGGGACACGGACAGGGTGTGCAGGTGCTTCAGGTTGGAGATGGATTCGGGCAGGATGCCTTTGAACTCGTTGCCGCCCACATTGCTGCACGCACGGGGGGAGGGGAGAAAGAGTGCAGGTGCCAAGAGTAGGAGAAGGGAGACAAGAACCGGCGTGCTTTGAGTCGAGTCAGCCGCTTCAGGTTGGGGATGGACGGACGCACGCATTGCTGCCCACATCGCTTCACGCAGGGGGGGGTGGCATGGGAGATGGGGGGCGAGGGAGGGAGGATGATGAAGGACACTTGGAGATGGGGGGCGAGGGAGGGAGGATGATGAAGGACACTTGGAGATGGGGGGCGAGGGAGGGAGGATGATGAAGGACACTTGGAGATGGGGGGCGAGGGAGGGAGGATGATGAAGGACACTTGGAGATGGGGGGCGAGGGAGGGAGGATGATGAAGGACACTTGGAGATGGGGGGCGAGGGAGGGAGGATGATGAAGGACACTTGGAGATGGGGGGCGAGGGAGGGAGGATGATGAAGGACACTTGGAGATGGGGGGCGAGGGAGGGAGGGGAGGGAAGGACGGAGAGGAGAGGAGAAAGAGAGACTCAGGCAGGACGTTGTTCAACTCGTTCCCGCCCACATTGCTGCTCGCACGAGGGCGGGACGGAGGGGATGGAGGGACAGAGGGGCGAGGAGAGGGACAGAGGGGCGAGGAGAGGGCAGCATCTCTGAGCTGTCTGCATAAAGAAAAAAGAGTAAACTGAATAATGAGGAAAGCATGAGCTGTGAGCTCCTTATATACTCCTGTGCCCAAATCGCTGGGCACACGAGGGAAGGGGGAGGGGGAGGGATAACAAGTTTCATCAGGAGCAGGCTGGCTGTTTAGGGCAGCATCCTATGAGCTGTCTGCTGCACAGATTGCATAAAAAAAGCGGAAGGGGCGGAAGGGAGTCGAGTGACTCATAAAGGGATACGGGCGCGTGTCATGTGCCTCACTGTGTGTGTCATGTGCCTCACTGTGTGTGTCATGTGCCTCACTGTGTGTGTCATGTGCCTCACTGTGTGTGTCATGTGCCTCACAGGGCGTATCATGTGCCTCACAGCACGTATCATCTGCCTCACAGCACGTGTCATGTGCCTCACAGGGTGTGTCATGCGCCTCACAGGGCGTGTCTCATGTGCCTCACATCACAGGGCGTGTCATGTGCCTCACAGCTCGTGTCATGTGCCTCACAGTGCGTTTCATGTGCCTCGTGGGGCGTGTCGTGTACCTCACAGCGCGTGCGTGTCATGTGCCTCACAGCGCGTGTCATGTGGCTCACAGCGCGTGTCATGTGGCTCACAGCGCGTGTCATGTGCCTCATAGCGCGTGTCATGTGGCTCACAGGGCGTGTCATGTGCAGCGCATGTCATGTGCCTCACAGCGCGTGTCATGTGCCTCACAGCGCGTGTCATGTGCCGCACAGCACGTGTCATGTGCCTCACAGGGCGTGTCATGTGCCTCACAGCGAGTGTGATGTGCCGCACAGCGCGTGTCATGTCTCACAGCGCTTGTCATGTGCCTCACAGCGCACACCACAGCGCACGCCATGTGCCTCACAGCGCGCGTCATGTGCCTCACAGCGCACGCCATGTGCCTCACAGCGCGTGTCATGTTGGCACGAGTCGGCTCGATGCGTAAGAAACAGCATGTGCGTCACTGGAGCTTGGGCTGGTGAGGTGTGAGCTGAGCAGTCAAGAGTTGCTACATGTGTCACCTCATGAGTGGTGAGGTGGCAGCAGCTAAGAGTGACTCAGGGGGTTATAAGACAGCATGGGCCTCACAGGAGCTGCAGGTTGGTGAGGTGGGAGTGCTCTAGTGTAGCTTAGCAAGGCACAAAAGGTGGCTGGCATGGGCTCACAGGAGCTGCAGGTTGGTGAGGTGGGAGTGCTCTAGTGTAGCTTAGCAAGGCACAAAAGGTGGCTGGCATGGGCTCACAGGAGCTGCAGGTTGGTGAGGTGGGAGTGCTCTAGTGTAGCTTAGCAAGGCACAAAAGGTGGCTGGCATGGGCTCACAGGAGCTGCAGGTTGGTGAGACTGCCCAGGGACCAAGGGAGGGTGCCCGTGAGGCGATTGCCGTCCAGGTGACTGGGACGCAGAGGGGGAGAGGGAAGAAGGAGAGCGATGGGGGTATGGAGGAAGAAGGATGGGGGCATGGAGGAGGAAGGATGGGGGCATGGAGGAGGAAGGATGGGTGCACCGAGGTGGTGGGAAGGAGAGGAGTGAGAAGAGTGTGGTGCGTGGAACGATAGTAGCGGTGAGAGGCAGGCGAGGTGCATGGGAGGAAAAGAATGGGTGGGAGTCAGGAGATGGGTGAGAGTCAGGAGATGGGTGGGAGTCAGGAGATGGGTGGGGGCAGGAAGAGGGGTAGGGGTAAGGAGAGGGGTGAGCAAAGCTGAGGTGTAGGGGAAGGGCATTGGGAAGGGCAAAGTGGGCTGTGGAAGAAGCAAGGTGCAAACGAGGGGGATTGCCTGCAGCTGGCTGGATGGCACGGGGTGCGGAGGGAGGAGCGGCAAGAGGGAGGAAAAGCAAGGAGGGAAGGGGAGGGTATAAGGAGAAGCGAGGATCTTAGGAAGCCAGGACGAGTAGGGAGGTGAGGGGGGTGGGGTTGTCAACAACAGCGAGGAAGTGAGGGAAGAACGGGAGGTCGGGGAAGGGGGAGGTGGGGTTGTCAACGACAGCGAGCAAATGAGGGAAGGGAGAGATGAGGGAAGGGGGAGGTGAGGGAAGAAAGGGAGGTAAGGGAAGCGGGAGGTGAGGGAAGGGGGAGGTGAGGGAAGGGGGAGGTGAGGGAAGGGGGAGGTGAGGGAAGGGGGAGGTGAGGGAAGGGGGAGGTGAGGGAAGAAAGGGAGGTAAGGGAAGGGGGAGGTGAGGGAAGAAGGGGAGGTCAGGGAAGGGAGGGTTGAGGGCAGGGCGGGAAGTGAGGGAAGGAAGGGAGGTGAGGGAAGGGGGAAAGTGAGGGAAGGGGGGAAGAGGCGTACAGCGAGGTGAGGGAGGTGAGCTTGCCGATGTCATTAGTGAGCGAGCCCCCGATGTCGTCCTGAGACAGCTGCCTGACGGCACAAGAGGGGGGAGGAGGACGGTACAAGGTGAAGGGAGGGTACAAGGTGAAGGGAGGGTACAAGGTGAAGGGAGGGGAGAGGGAAGTGATGGCGGAAGGGAGGGGAGGGCGGTGAGCTTGCCAGTGTCATCCGACAGTGTCACATCCGACAGTGTCACATCCGACAGTGTCACATCCGACAGTGTTCCCTCTATGCCCCCCTGAAACAGCCGCCTAGCGGCACAAGAGGGACATGCGGTTGTGCATGTATGCATGCGTGCATGTGTGCATGTGTGCATGCGTGCATGGTAACATGGCATATCATTGACTCACATCGCCCACAAGGGGTCCATCAGGGGAGCATGGTATCCGCACGTCAACAAGCCTGCATGGTGTGTTATGGTGTGTCATGGTGTGGTATGCCTCACCAACCATGGTGTGTTATGCCTCACCAACCATGGTGTGTTATGCCTCACCAACCATGGTGTGTTATGCCTCACCAACCATGGTGTGTTATGCCTCACCAACCATGGTGTGTTATGCCTCACCAGCCATGGTGTGTTATGCCTCACCAAGCATGGTGTGTTATGCCTCACCAACCATGGTGTGTTATGCCTCACCAACCATGGTGTGTTATGCCTCACCAACCATGGTGTGTTATGCCTCACCAACCATGGTGTGTTATGCCTCACCAACCATGGTGTGTTATGCCTCACCAACCATGGTGTGTTATGCCTCACCAACCATGGTGTGTTATGCCTCACCAACCATGGTGTGTTATGCCTCACCAACCATGGTGTGTTATGCCTCACCAACCATGGTGTGTTATGCCTCACCAACCATGGTGTGTTATGCCTCACCACCATGGTGTGTTATGCCTCACCAACCATGGTGTGTTATGCCTCACCAACCATGGTGTGTTATGCCTCACCAACCATGGTGTGTTATGCCTCACCAACCATGGTGTGTTATGCCTCACCAACCATGGTGTGTTATGCCTCACCAACCATGGTGTGTTATGCCTCACCAACCATGGTGTGTTATGCCTCACCAACCATGGTGTGTTATGCCTCACCAAGCATGGTGTGTTATGCCTCACCAAGCATGGTGTGTTATGCCTCACCAAGCATGGTGTGTTATGCCTCACCAAGCATGGTGTGTTATGCCTCACCAAGCATGGTGTGTTATGCCTCACCAAACATGGTGTGTTATGCCTCACCAGCCATGGTGTGTTATGCCTCACCAAGCATGGTGTGTTATGCCTCACCAACCATGGTGTGTTATGCCTCACCAACCATGGTGTGCTATGCCTCACCAACCATGGTGTGTTATGCCTCACCAACCATGGTGTGTTATGCCTCACCAATCATGGTGTGTTATGCCTCACCAACCATGGTGTGTTATGCCTCACCAACCATGGTGTGTTATGCCTCACCAAGCATGGTGTGTTATGCCTCACCAACCATGGTGTGTTATGCCTCACCAACCATGGTGTGTTATGCCTCACCAAGCATGGTGTTGTATGCCTCACCAAGCATGGTGTGTTATGCCTCACCAAGCATGGTGTGTTATGCCTCACCAAACATGGTGTGTTATGCCTCACCAGCCATGGTGTGTTATGCCTCACCAAGCATGGTGTGTTATGCCTCACCAACCATGGTGTGTTATGCCTCACCAACCATGGTGTGCTATGCCTCACCAACCATGGTGTGTTATGCCTCACCAACCATGGTGTGTTATGCCTCACCAACCATGGTGTGTTATGCCTGGCCTGGCTTATCATGCACTCACAGGACCACCAGGGATCCATCAGAGGAGCATGTGATGCGCGGGCCAACCAGCATGCACACGTCCCTCAAACTCTTTCGCAAATTCACCAGGAGCCGACATGTGTTGTGCACGATGTGCCTTATCATGCACTCACAGCGCCACCAGGGATCCATCGGGGTCGCAGGTGAGGCGCAGGTCCACCAGCATGCACACGTCCCTCGCACGCCGCCACGCATTGAAGCGTCTAGCGGGCTGCCAGCCGCTCACCAGGCTCACTAGCACTGCACGGGATGGCAGAAGGGGGGCAGATGTCGTGTGTTGAGTGGGGAGTGCACGGCGAGCAGCGGGCTGCCAGCCGCTCACCAGGCTCACTAGCACTGGACGGGGTTATCGGGGGAGCGTGATCGGGAGTGGGTGATCGGGAGTGGGTGATCGGGGGAGGAAGATAGGGGGAGGGTGGTCGGGGGAAGGTGATAGAGCTAGGTTTACGGGATGGGGGGACAGGGAAGATGCATGGTGGTGAATGGGGAGTGCACGGTGATCAGTGAGCATGGGCCACCTTGCTGAGCAGGGGCGAGCGGTGGAGTTTCAGAATATTGCCTCTCCTTGCCTCTCCTTGCCTCTCCTTGCCTCTCCTTGCCTCTCCTTGCCTCTCCTTGCCTCTCCTTGCCTCTCCTTGCCTCTCCTTGCCTCTCCTTGCCTCTCCGTGCCTCTCCGTACCTCTCCTTGCCTCTCCTTGCCTCTCCGTGCCTCTCCGTGCCTCTCCTTGCCTCTCCTTGCCTCTCTGTGCCTCCCCGTGCCTCTCCTTGCCTCTCCTTGCCTCTCCTTGCCTCTCCTTGCCCCTCCGTGCCTCCCATTGCCCCTAATTGTTACCCATTCTCACCTGATGTCACCCGCTGTCACCCATTCGCCACAGTGTTATCTCCCCTGCCTCTCCCACGCCCCCCGTCCTTCTCTCCTTTGCCTCGGCTCTCAACCTCCACCCCTTCCCCCCCTCCTTCCTTCCTCTCCCCCGCCCCCGACCTCGCCCAGCCCTTCCCCTGGTTTCCCCTCACACCCTTTTCTCTCCCCCTCTCTCTCCCCCATAGTTCCCCTCCCCCTCAACTTGCGCGGCGTGGGCAGGCGGCGCCTGCCAGCCCCCGCAAGCGGGGCTTGCAGCACAAGAAGCAGCAGCTCGAGGAGGGCTTTTCCCCATGTCTCCCCTCACACTCTTCCCCCGCCCCCGCCCCCTTTCCACTCTCCCCACCCCCTCACCTGGCGCGGCGTTTCCGCCTGGTTACCCCTCACGCCCTTACCCCTCTTCCCTCCCTGTCTCCCCTCCCTCTCTCCCCTCGCCGTCTCACCTGCAGTGGCGTTGACGGGAGGCGGCTCCCAGCCCCGGCACGAGGGGCACAGCAGGAGCAGCAGCAGCAGCAGTGCGAGGCGCGCCGCCGCGACGCGGCCTACGAGGGCGCGGAGACTTCGCTGCGCGCCGGGCTGCATTCTTCCTAGTGTGCGCGCCTCTTGTTTGCGCCGAGGCGGCTCTAAGCAACTGACGAGAAGCGAGTTTTATTTCCGTCCAACTACTAGCGATGCAATATCGACGCTTCCCCGAATATTAGTCCCGAATAACGGTAGTGGTCATAGGGCGGCTTCATCCTTTTTCAGCATAATGCGAATTGGCGAATATAAGTCCCTAAAATCGGGACCAGGCGTAGTGTAGGTACGCAGTAAGATACGTGATCTATGGAGTAGCCATGCGACGGATAACTCGTCAACCTATGTACAGGGGCACAGTTCTGGGATGTACGCGATATAAGGCGGCGCTCTCGCTTCCACTGTTGAGGGAGACTGAGCAGTAGCGGTCGTAGGGTGGCTTCATCCTATCTCATCCCGACTTCATAAATATACGCGATATAAGGCGGACAGAGGTCGCGGACGGAAGGCAAGGATACGAGAAAAAGAGCCTACAGGACGAGAGTTGACCCTAACGGGGACGAGAGTTGACCCAAGGTTCTGCGTTGCGACCTGCACTGCTTCGCCCATTGTCTGTGCGAGTAGATAACTTCTTTCTTGCCGGACATCGACGGCGTCGAGTGAGGAGTTGCTCAGACTTCATATAGTTTTAGTACGATGCAATGTGGTGAGCAGTAGCGGTTGCATCCTTCTTCTGCGCGTCGCAGCGCGATACAGTACGGTGTCTTGGAAAAATGGAGACAGTCGTCCGCGGCGCTTCGACCCAGCTGGTACAGTACCGAGCCTAGTATAAGTTTGGGACGAGGCGAAGCTGGTGTGGTTCGGTTCGGAGCAGCTTTGTCGGGTGGTGCCGTCAGAGGCAAGAACTCGAAGCGGCCTGCATTGTTTTCGGTGCTAGGTTCGGTCTGGGAGAGCTTGGCGGGAAGCCCAGGTGAGGTTCACAGCAGAGGGGAAATTGGCTTGGCGGGAAACACAGGCCAGCAGTTCTTCTGGCAGCTTCGGGGTGTTAATTTGTCTCCGTACCAGCCAACGCCTGATGCAAGGAATTAGTGGCTGTGTTCTACAGGCATTTGACGTTGACGTCGACGTCTACATTGAGGAAGCTCCTCAAGCGACTTCAAGAGCACTGGTTACCACCCAAACCAGGTGCACTTTCCCAACCTCGCTTGGAAGCCACGAGACCAAATTGTGGAAAGCGCAAGCGAAAGGAGAGAGGAGATAATTTCAAAATTGCGCAAAAAAAAACTTCTGCCCCAGGGCAGGAGAGAAATTATCCGGGGCAAAATGACGAAAAAAGGTTAAGCTGAGATATAACTCGTTGGCAATGAGTTCGTTCAGCTGCTGTTTTTTTGCAGGGCAGTCCCAAGCTCGCGAGGGGGGGTAAAGTGGTGGCGGTTGTATTTTTGGGGTGTGGAGGCCTAGTACACCCTTGCGGTTGATGTAACGCCACACGCAAGGTGGACTTCGCGATTAAGCGAACGTCAGCATTGCGTCAGGTTTGCGTCAAATTTGCCAGGGAGGGAAGCGACGGGGGTGTTTCCCTGACGTATATGTCATCCGCAGATGGACCTGTTCTGTAGGCATGTCGACGTAACTAGGTTCGGGTACGTTGTGTCAGGTTTGGACGAAATTTTGCGGGCTGACCCTCGATCCGAAGCAAAAAATCTCGCTTTCGGAAGGTGCTCTGATGTAATCTGCACTTTCCTTTTTTGCCTGCAGAACGCAGCCAGAATTTATACTGGAGTTGCACCAACCCCGTTATAGCGGTGTACTCCTTACAAACTAAAACCCTTGATAAGGAAATGCCATTTCCTTACAGTATTCCTCACTGTAGGCTTTAGATATCGCGTACACTAGAACAATCACGAGGCTACGCTTCGGCCCAGACTTCTCGAAGTGAGCCTTCCATTCTGTAATGAAGCGCAAAGTGTGTATCTCGAATAGTTGATTAGCGAGGAAACCATGCAACATGTAACATCAAAACAACATGGATTCCGAATATAGCTAGGCCTAGAGCACACGGTCGCGGCTCGGTAAAACTGAGACGTGTGGTTTGTAAATTGGCGTGGAGCGCCCAGATCTAGGCATGAATCGGCAAGGCGGGCAAAATGCATGCAGCTCGTCAGGAGACCGCATTTGGGTGCCGCGATTTGAATTGCATGGCAGAGCTGCGCGGTAGCCCCGTTATAGCAGTATACGCTCTACTAACTAAAACCCGTAAGAAGGAAATACCATTATACGGATCTTCATGATCCTTCGATAACCTTCCCGAATCATTGGTTCCTAGGACTAGGATTACCCTAGGTGCTCCTTTATATTGTCTCGTCGCTCATTTTATTGTTACTCACTCGTTCGAAGTTTCATCATTGCCCTCCGGAGTACTCAACACTTCTATTCAGAACACTTACAAAGCTATAACATTAGTTCCCCTCAATCAAACATGTTGAATAGCTAGAAGGTAGCTTGGTAGGACGCCATGAAATGGCGAGAGATTCAGCTAGGGGCCAGAAATAATCGAGAGAAAAGAGGTCGAGATTAGAAGAGAGAGGGATACAAGGAGGGGGTTGTACCCTCTGCAGTAGGTTTCAGTAACACCTACCAAGCCTACAATTATATATAACCTATATAATTTAACACACCCCCTAGGCTTGGTAGCCTCAAGCCCACCCAACACCCAACACCCCCAAGCCCGTGCACTCCCCAGGTCCTGCAACAGGAGAGGCTACTATCCCTCGTGCATTCGGTGCCACCCCCGGCGAGTGGCGGCAACGGCGTCAGTGGCGTCGGTGGCGGCAGTGGCGGCGGCAGCGTCGACGACGGGCGGCGGCGACGGCGCGGTGGCGATGGCCGCACGGCGGTGGCGGTGGCAGCGTTGACGACGGCGGCAGCGACGGCGGCGGCGACGACGAGACTCGTGACGCCTGGCGGCATGGCACGGCCCGGCGACGACCGAGAACTCAGCATCTGCGGCTGGAACTAGGGGTGGTGCAGGGGAGGTGGCATTGCGTCAGCAAGGCGCCGTGGCTGATGTGCGGGCGAGCTGGCGGCGCCTAAAACGACGTGCGGCCCCCTGCCGCCCGTCGACGCCGCCACAGAAGCATGACAACGCCACCACAGCGCAGCGTCGATGCCGCGGCGGCATGTCGACGCTGCCACTGCAGCACGACGACGTCGCCACGGCGTGGCAGCTCGGCACGGCAGCGCGTCGGGGCAGCGACGAAAACACCACGAAGCCGCCATGGCAGCTCGACACGGCCGCCACGGCGGCACGGAAGGGACAAAAGAAGAGCGAGTACGTGGCGGAAGCGTGAGGCAGCCCAGCAGGGCGGATCTCCTGCTCTGATAGCATGTTGAATAGCTAGAAGGTACAGTGGCGGAATAAATTGCCCGGATGTTTAACACTTTGAAACATATCGCTATGCCACACATGTTTCGAAAATAGTAACACCTGGTTTTTGCCATTCTGTTACAGGCTTTCGAGTTCTGCTTCAACCGTTTCTTGCTTGGCGCGATTGTGACACAACCGGAAAGTGGGGTTGAAATTTACTCCTCGACTATCGATGCGGACATTTCCTACGGAGCGGAAGAGTAGATCTATTTTCCCCCGTCACTCGGTGTGTACATCGTCACGCGCAACAGTTGCTCGCTTAGGAGTTAGTCCGGAAGCGAGCCTACGACCGCATCGCCATGAAGCCGTTAAATGAGCGGAAGCGCGCGCGAATCAGAAGCATGTTGCGTGCGGGCCATTCAACTAGGAAAATAGGCAAAGTTCTTGGCATAGGCAAGAGCACCGTGCACGATTACGGTTTGAAAGTGGCTGCCGAGACTAGTCTCGAGGAGGTGCGACCTACGATGCCTAGGGCCGGCCGCCCCCGCTTAATCACTACCCGTCTCCAGCGCGGAATAATACGCGCGATTACA